ATGCTTGATTTTGTGTCTTCCAAAATTGATAGATTTTGAAAATGACGTTCATGAACAGACATTATAAAGATAGTCAATTTTTTCAAAAAAAAATTTTTCAAAAAAAACATCTCTAAAACTACAGGTTTTACAGACAATATTGGAATTCAAAGAAGACTGAAGAGATGAATGCTTGATTTTGTGTCTTCCAAAATTGATAGTTCAGCTTTCTGACAGACTTTTAAAAAATTTTGATAGCAATTTCAATTGTCCTCATGTGAAATACCATGTTTCACTAATTTTCTGCTGCAAATAAATTTTGAATCAACTATTTAGTATCTCTAACCTAACATTCCTAGCTTAGAAATAAATGTATTTCAGATTAATCAAAGTCTCATTCTTGGAAAGCGGATAAGGGGAAAATTCTATCAAATCTAAATAGAAACTGAGTCTGAAAATTGGATATCAAACCGATACATGTAACAGGTGAAAAACAACAGTATCAATTTCTCTGAAAAAAAAGTAATAAGTGATATTTGTGTCAAAACCCGAAAACAATCAGAATAACATATTCAATCTAATCTGAGAAAAAGGCAGGTTACTAGTTCATGCTCACGCAACACTTCTGATTGGTTAGCTCAGCAAGCTAGATTCCAGATGGATGCACTAATAGTGGCAGGCGGTTCTTATCACTGGGACGATGTTAGAAAAAGTGTGAGAGACGAAATATGAGAGATAGAGAAGAAAATCCGCACGATCAGAAAAAGGAAGCTACACATGAAGACGTTTGAAGTAAAATTTGTAGAGAACTGGGAGAAAAATAGGGAGGATTCAAGATGGGCTTGACAGGTATACTCAAACTGATTGAAAACTTTTTATTCAGGTATGGAAAGCTTTTGAAGTCCTTACGTTGATTAACAAGAGAGCTAAAATCTAGTAAAAGGAGATTATAAACGTTAAGCCTACTGTAGAGGTCCGAAAAAAGTTCATCGGGTGCATTAGTTGATTGAAAATGAAAAAAAAACGAAGAGCGATAAAATGTGGTAATCAGCTAACTGGGTTTTTCTAAGACTACTCGATAGCCTAACTAATCTTTGCTAAGCACATGAAAAATGGTGAAACTACGACTTTATGATCTCAATTTTCTGGCGGTGAGGGAAAATTTAATTAGATATTTATAAAGATGCGGTCACAAAAAAATATCAACTAGATCTCTGCACTGTTTCTATCAGTCTATACTTTTTTTCTAAGTGTTATTTATGTTAAAAATAAAGAAATAATATTTTTTAACATGCAAACACAAATCAAGCTTTCTTTTTAATTATTAAGGGGTTTGCAAAAAACTATGAGATAAGCTACGATCTACAGAAAAAGCGTAACTTTCCCTGCTTTATTCATTGCTCAAGGTCTCTGCGGAGTGGATTTCGGAAAGTCGAGGTGAGGGAAGGCAAGAAACATTTGGCCAATAACTGACATCACTCAACTCTTGCGTCTGCAAACTTTCAAGCGGGCAGCAAAAAGGTTAGGAAGGACCCCAGAAAACGGGTCCCGTTGGAAAAAGAATATATGTCCATCTATGTGTATGGAATTTTTCAAAAAGAGACAAGAGAGCGGGTAGTTTTGTGTGAGGGGCAAGTAAAGCAGAGACAAAAAATATTGGTAAAAGGTTTCCCCCCTTGCCCGAGGAGGAGACGACAATCAGTGGTCCAAAAGGCGCGAGAGACCGAAGAAGGGTCGACCCAGTTTGAGTTAAAGGGTAGGTGCATTCTTGCAGAGAGAGATGAAGAGAGAGAATTCGAGTTGAGAGCAAAAAAAGTACAAGTGGGAATAGGAAAAGAGGTGGAAAAAATGGAGACAAACTACGTACATGCATTGGTACAACTGATTGCAAATTCATGATGCTTTTAGGGTTTGTGGAGTATTTTCGGATTTTTTTGTATCAATCAATTTTTGAGTATATTCTGAAAGTTTTGGTTGTGTATGCAACCCCGAAACGTGAGTAAAATTACAGTTCACAATGAATTAAAGTTGTTACAGTTAATTTGAATAAGAAAACCCTCGAATACTGTGACAATGAAACATCAGTCTCGTGAGTTGGAACGAGGGAAAGGCAGATTGCGAAATATCATGATTATCGTGAAAGGATCAAAACTGATTTGACACTAGGAAAAGTTATATTAAATTTATTGAATTCTATAATTCATTAGACTACGATACGATTTGGAGAAAAATTATCATTTAACGGTAGTTAAAAAGTATCTAAATAAGAACAGAAAAATCAGATTGACTGACATACTTTTTCTGAAAAACTGAAAAATTCGTCATGATTGAGTAGCATTTTTCAATTGTGCGATTTCATCAATAATCGAAATTGTCAAAAATTGATTTTCAAGGCTCTGTACAATAGAATGAAACTGCAGTAATATAGCAAATCAGCTGTGCTAAAATCTTAATTTTTCATTAATAGTCAATCAGGATACAGATTAACATAAAACACAAAGTTACATCAATAACAAAAAGTTACTTGACAGTATCGGTCCAGTTTTGAGATAGACAGACGAAAATTTAGCTACATTCAAAAGATCAAAATGCGATATCAAAAACATGAAATCCTTTGAATTCTGAATATTTTAAAGTTCAGTAAAAATGATACCCTCCTCTGAATACAAAAGTTGCACTTCTATCATTACGCTACATGGACCAATTTTCACTAGACTGCAAACGGGCACAAAGATGACCACGAGACAGGGATGACACAACACTCGGAGCAGCTAATAATGGGGTCATAAAATTCACGACACGCAAGCGTCTCATTCACCAAAAACCTATAATTACAGCTAGCCGTCCCGTTTTATTGTATGGGAGTGCCAGTGGTATATTGCTCATGTTAATCACATGTCTTGGAAGCTGTCATTAGTGTGACAGAGAAACATTTCTAATGATAGCTTTCAGCAGCGTCAAAAATGAATATCACAGATGCCCTATGACAAAAATAGAGAGGAAAAAATTGTCGGGAGAACTTGAGATACAAATAGTCGGATGACAACATATGAGGAGTAAAGAAGGGTGAAGGTTAAAGTGCACCGATGCATTGCACCAAATTTTTTTCTTCTTTTTTCGAGACAAGCGTTTTTGGCTCATTCGTGTTTGGTGTATACGGCACAAGGCACCCACCCTTCTTCTTTTTTCGCGTTTTTTTCCATTGCGTCGCGTTTCTTTTTTCCCACTTCTCACTCCCTTTCAATAACACGGAAAAACCCGCGCGGGACTAAACGGCACAGAAGATGTCGAAGAAGGAGTAGGAGCAAGCGCAGAAAAAAAGAAAAGAAGCTCATGCTCTCTGACGACGAGAGCTCATGCTCTCTGACGTGAGGTCTCATCGATTCTCAACAATCTTGTGGAGCACGACTACTTCTCTCCTCTCCTCGGCGCCGTTTTTTCTTCTTCTTTTCCTCTACTACTCCTCGAATTCCTCTATATTCAAGACGACGCAATGTCTCTTTTCTTACTCCCAGTAGAAAATGCCAACAAGAAAAAAAAAGGAGTATAAGCAGAGAATGGAAGTAGGAGTAAAGAAAAAATCTGTTAATTGAACTTCCTTGCGACACACGGTTTCAGTATTGTTTTTCTGGATGCTACTATTACTATTACCATCATCATTTTCAATTTAATTTTCATTAATTTTTGAAAACATTTACAAATACGTAATTTCTAAAATTACCTATGAAAAATCCTATCTCAATCATGTATGTTTCCAAAAAATTTGAAATATGATTTTTTTTACCTATGAATAAAGTATTTGCTCTAATAAAAGTTTACTCAAACCATCAACTTTGAGTTCAATTATTTTGTTTTTTGTGAAAAAATCAGAAATTTATCTTCTGATGAATTCTTTATCATAATATCATCAATATTTTATTAGTTAACAACTTTTTCATGATTGTCAAAGAAACCGAGATAATTGTACTCAAAGTTGGCGGTTTGTATGGGCTTCCATTGCAGAAAATAGATAAATTTTCATGTTTGAGCTTCTTGATTTTCAATGTGTTGAAAATGATTAAGTGTCACGTTAATTGTTTCAAGCTTTTTATTTATCAAACTGTTCGTATGGATCACTATTTTATTATCTCAAGGTGAGTTAAAATATTCATTAAAAGTTCCGGTCTCTTGATAATTTAGATTACACTATTTCAGAATACGGAAATTTATATCTTGCTTAATGGCAACATATATTATAAAAGTAAGTTTTACAAATCAAAATTGCTCCGGAGAATTTGTAACTTACTTTGAAAACTTCAAAACTTCAACTGCTCTTCTGATGATGCCAAAGTAGTTTACTTGCCGCGTTTGGTTCCAATACTCAGAATGGCTGCCTACGAAATAAGAAACCGCTCTCCCATCAAAGAAGTATGAGGCTTCTGATAAAAACCAATAAAAAATTAATAGCATCCACGGAGCCAATGAAAAAAAATGAGGGAAAAATAGACGACGACGATATGGGGGAGGAGGAGAAAAATCATAATGATGAGCCGTATTTTCAGTTTCAAGTTTCCTTTGGTGTCTTTTCTCTTCATTCATCTTCCACTCATCTCAACTATGCACGAGTAACGGATGAAAGGGATACTTAGAGGATCCAATTTTGCGCTCTCTTAAAAATGAAGGATGTTGTGTGTATGTCTCTTTTCAGTGTACTGAAAGCTCTCATGTCTTCCTATTCTTACTCTCGTAGGCAATTGGACATTTATTGAAAAGATATATTCAAAGGAGTGGAAAATGAATTATTGGAAAATATTGCTTACTCCTTCTTTTTTTCCAATTACCGAGCCATTGTCATTTTTGTTTTTTGATTCGCGATTCACGCTGTATCCGGAGCAAAAGAAATGGTAGCATCGAGTAGGAAAGATCAGAAAACAAGTAAGCTTCAGAATGAGAAGACATAGAAAAGGAGATTTTGAAAAAAAAACATGACGAAAACCTCTGAGGATCTACATACATGCTACATCATTTTTCTGCTGCTGCTGTCACTGCTGGTGCTGCTCTGCGCGTTCTGTTATCTGAGGGTGGCAATCAAGAAAGACGAGGACTTTTTTTCTTCCTTTCGCGCTCGTTCTCGTTCTCGTCACAAACACAAACACCCCGGGACCTTTTTTTTGATCAAACAAAAAATGCCTTGCATCTGATGTCACTGAAGCCTTTTTCTCTCTTTCGATATTTCCTCTTTTGGCCTTGCAAATACAAAATGTCACATCCCACAAAAAAATTTTTGAAATTCTGAAAATTGACATGATGAAAATGAGAAATGAAAGAGGAATTGGGGAGGAAGAAGAGTAAACTTTCATCCATGGAAAGCATCAAATTTCATCGTCATCATTTGTGTCAGCCACTACCCATAAACAATTTACAGTAGGATCACGAGGGACTGAAAAAATTGGATGTTCTGAGAAATATAGTATAAACGAAACTGTTATATATAAGTTAATTGATAAGGGGGCGGATCTGATTTCAGCGAGCATTAGCGGCAGCATTCACGTCTAATTCATCTTAAGGCTACTAATGTGAGTATTGATCGTCGGAAAGTTACGGTAAGCTTAACTGACAGCATGTTACATATCTATGTGGTTTCACCATCAAGAAAAATGCTTTTTAAATTTAAATTTTATTGAAATTAGGGCATGAAATCAATCGAATGATTATCTAGTAACGAAAATGATGGCTGGTGAAATTTGATTTCAGAGAAAAAAGTACGATTTGACAAAATCGTAAATTTTAGTAAAAGAATGCTCTAATAGAAGGCAATCCTATACGTGCACTTTAAGTTAATTAATCTCGGTTCCTCCGAGAAATATAAAAAGTTGTACACTTTGAGCTCAACTATCTTGGTTCCTTCAAAAGATATCAACATTTTGTCAATCAATAAAATGTTTTTCGTAAACATAACAAAATGTTATTAGTTGACAATTTTTTGATATTTTCCGAAGGAACCGAGATAACTGAGCACAAAATGCACGTAAAGGATGTGCTTCTATCAGAGCATTTACCATTTTTTCAAAACAAAAATCATTTTATTTTCTTGATTTTGCTCATAATTGTAAATCTATGGTAACCAAAACTGAAAATTGAATTCGAGAGGTTTCAGAAAAAAAATCGGGTGATTGAAAAATAAAGAACTTATCTTTTCTGGGCCTCTAACAACTTCTTCAAATTCAAATTTAAATATCTGCAAAAAAATCGTCGTATTTTCACAGAACTCCTTCGCTTCTATACACACTTCCCTTGAACAAAAATCAGTGAATTGTAGTTTTCATCCTGATAAGCGGCAGATTTTAGACAGATTTTGCTCTTGAAGATTTCCAGCGGATTTCATGTGTATTCGAAATCAAAATATTATTCAAACGTAGCTGTATAGTTTTGAAATCATTTAAAAAACTCAAAATCTGAGGAAAAATTTTTTTGAAACTCTTGGATTTGTGCAAAATACGCAAGTGTGTTTGAAACTCTCTACAAAATCCAATACACACAGAAAAAATCTGGAGTGCCGGAGATTCGAACATGAATGCTGGGAAATTAGGGTGACGCATTGAAAAAAATCGTCGGGTAGAGAGGATTGCTTCAAAATCTAATTTTCGGTCTTGAATGGATTACTGTAAAGGAAGAGGTTTCCGCTTTGAATTCTGCACGTTTTTCGTTCCATTTCGATTCGTTTCTCTCTCTCTCTCTCTGTCTCTCTCTCTCTCTCTCTCTCTCTCTCTCTCTCTCTCTCTCTCTCTCTCTTTTTGGGCTTCTGAATTACTGTAGTAAGTGCAATTTCTTTCAGATTCACCTTGTTCGATGGTTCATGACAATCATCGCCGGACTTCCGAACTCAATTTCATCTCCACTGACACGTACCCGAACACCCATCACAAACTCCAATAGTCCCTGAAATATGGTAGCAAACTTTTCATTCTTCTCCTAATTCAAATATTCTCAACTGTCTGCGCCTCTCTCTCTCTCTCTCTCTCTCTCTCTCTCTCTCTCTCTCTCTCTCTCTCTCTCTCGGGGCTAAACCGAATTAACACTTCTAACAATTTTCACACTTTGAATTCTTTGCTGGCAGTTTAAGTGTACTTGAACCTCTGCCATGACAAAAAGTTGCATTTGTTCCGAGAGGCGGCTAAAATGGTTAAATCGAAGTTAATAAAGCCATAAAAAAGCGAGGAATTTGTTCTTGTGTAGACCAATCAAGGTCGGTCAGACCACCTAGTTGAGTAACATAGACAGGTTATGACCGCGCGTTTGGAAGGAAGAGGTCGTTTTTTGTCTTCCCACCGTACCATCCCCTGACCAACTGCTGTGGTTTGCACGGACAGGGACCACACATCTCCCCGTTCTCTTCCTCCCTGTTTAATTAATCGATTCACCTCCCTCCCGTCTGCGCTTTTTTTTGCTGTCCGTATGTAAACGTGGCAAAGTCGAGCCCAGACAGCTACTCTGTTCTCTACGTTCCCCTCTTCTTCCACAAAGTGTGTCTATACGTCTGGTGTGTTCTTTTTCTTCCCGCATAAAATCCTCCCAAACGTTTGCCATTCAGTTACTTCGTCTGGAGTCTTCGTTTCGTATAAGTTCTTAGAAATTCTCGCTTTTTTATGTCGGTTGAAATTAACTCTATATATGAAAACTGAATGTAAGTGCATTTGACATTTCTATAAAGAGACAAAAAACTAGTTTTTTGAAATACCCAGTTTTCAACGTTATGAATATTCAGTTTCACGCTTTTCTGATCACCCAGAAGATTCAAAGTGCAATATTTCCCCGGAAAACTTCAAAATTGAGATGCCGCAAACTGCTTCCATTGTTTTCTTTTGGGCACTTCTCGGAAATAGAATTCAAAATAGCTCACTGACATTTTTGGGCTCATTGAGCTAGTACTTTTCTTGCGGCGCCGTCTTCCTTGTTCGCTCTTATTCTTTTTTATATTTGCAACTGTCATAAGCCTGTCAATATTGGAAGAACATGATTCATCGTGATATCATGTTAAAATGTTTGCCTCACAAGCAATTGTCTTCTATTTTCAGTCTTCGTGCCCTTTCCACTCGTCCCAAAAAAAAAAGCTTCATTTCCGCCAATGATCTCATTTTATCTTTTTTCGTGTCGGTAGGAAATCAGAATTGAGAAGCCACAAATTTATCTCCGTAGCTCACCTCACTTCCGTATTAGAATGCTAAAACATTCATGAGGAAGTTTTTCATGGAAATAATATTTTTGCATAACTCTTTTTTCTAATAATTTTGTATCAATCTCATATCGAAAAAAGTAATCAAAACAGAATACAACAAGAAAGAAAACTTGTTGAAGTATGTTCCAAAAAAAAAAATAAGAAAGACACCCCACCGGACAAATAGCATGTTTTCGAATGAGGTCTCAACGGGAGTGATGTCTTTTCATACTAAACTTTACGACGTAGTGCTTTTTTGCCTTGGGAATTACTTTTTTTTCACTACACGGTAGTTTTTTCATTGTTTGACATGTGGACACCAAGACAAAAATAAACAGTTCAGCTCAACAGTTCAATTGTTCAGGTTTTCCAACAAAATGCCATTCAAAATCAAAAATTTTTTTTTTGAAAAGTTTATTCGACCTGTAGCTTCCGTAGTTAGTTATTGTTTTTTAGTTGTTCTTCTTGATGGAAAAAGTAGTTTTCGATTTTAAAAGAATGACCAAATAATACCTTAAAACTATTTTCACTTCTCTGAAGGAAACGCGCCCTATCGAACTGATTTTTTTCTGCGAAAACAGAACATTTGGAATAAGACAATTTAAAATCAATATAACGATGTTTTTTAATGATTTCCTTTTTCGAAAATTGCATTTCACATTTTGAAAATATTTTTATTGTGTCTTACAAATTATTTGCCGCGGCTCGGGCTTTTCAAACAGCTGACTGGTGCGGCTTGGGCGCGATTTTTATCTATTTTCTACTGTTTCGTCGCTCCTCCTCTTTTTTTTTGATTTTTTTTCTTTCTCAAAAAGGTTAATTCAATTCATATATTGCTTTTTCGAGCTTTTCCAAAGTTTTGCAAACGATCATAATAAAAGAGACGCAACTACGCAACTACATGTATGAAAATGGTTACCAATTGAGTCACCATTTTTGTTTTTTTGGTTTAGAAAACCATTCATATTCCTTCTCTTGTTGTTTTACAAAATAAACCAATCATTGATGACGATCTTATCAATATATGACCATTTTTGTTTGCTCTAGCCGTGTCTTCCAACCACTTTTCCTCTCCCAACTAAAAGTATTATCAGTATAACAATCCCGTTTTTATTGCCCTCCTTACCATCACCTCTACCTTCAGAGTCTTCCTCCTACAGTGACGTTTTCCTGATATTTGATTCGGATTGACACGAAACAGACATCAAAGAAAAATGTATGGTTTCTCTAATTTGAAACTGAAGTGAAACCATGCATATTCCAATTATAGCCACATTCGAATAATAGGGCTTGACCGTTACGTAATACCGATCAAAAATCGAGAAGCAATGTGTTAACATCGCGTGTTATGAAGATGTACATCTTTTCTCGAATTGGCCAGTGGTGTGGAATGTTACAGATTACGTGGGCATACCAAGAGCCTATGAGATCAACTGATTATAAGGATTCGATGGGATAGTTGCTAGAAAAAAGTCTTTAACATTTACTTTTGTCAGTTTTATAGTTGCTTTGTGTCTACTTGTTAACTAGATAATTTTTGTGCAAAATACAAAAAAAAACGGAGAATGACACGTGTACATAACTGTTAAAACTCACCTGCCATTAGCCATTCATAAAATCTGACACCTAATGATCTGCGTATCTCTTCATTACTTGTTCTTCATGTGCCTTCTTTTCCATTTTCAGCCCTACAATCAACAGAAAGCAGTTTGAATGATAAGAGTAGTGCCCAGTCAATAATTCCTTTTCTTTACTTTTACTCGTACCTCAATTATTGAACTTCTGAACGTTCCTAAATTGATTTCTAGTTACAGATGCGCATACAACTACTTTTTCTGCTTCTCATCTTGGTGATATGTGCCTATACATACGATCCAGTGAAGGTGAACTATAAGGAGAAGGGTTTGGCTAATAAAGATAAACCATTGAAAGTGGTTCTGACAAAGGATGAAGAGTATGATGAGGATGTTCCGACTGTCAGTATCAGAGACTTGGAGAAAAAAGTTAAAAAAACGAAGAAGGTGGTAGAAGAAGATGAGGAAGAAGAGGATGAGGAGGAGGAAGAAGAAGAAGAACCAGCTCCAAAAAAGAAACCATCAAAAAAGAAGTCGAAAAAGGTGGATCCAAAGAAAGAAGCGCAAAAGAAAAAGAAGGTTAGTGACCTCAACGATTAATTCAGCTTGCTAATTCAACTTTTTGCATCTCTGTGTGCTTTATTGATACCCCCGTTTGTCTTTTTTTTACCTTTGTATGCCATGTTCAGATACCCGTAACAGATCTACCTGCTCCCGATTCTACCGCCGTTCCTAACATGACATCATTTGATATTCTCGAACTTACGAGAGAATTGAGAATTCAAAAATTGAGAGATATAATCAGCAATCCACCTGTCAGCATGATTGAAACGATGAGAAAGGTGACCGAAATGTGTCAATGACAACTTCGAACTCACACAACGATCATGTGTTTGTGCGTGTGTCTTTTACTAATCGCATGCGTTCTTGTTGTTGTTGCTGTTGTGTGCGTGTACGTGTCGAATGGACATTATAGGTCTCGGGCAGGAATTTATTGATGTTTCAGATAACAAAGGAAGTGCAAGAGGAAGAAGATGAGGAAGAGGAGGAAGAAGAGAACAGAACTTTAGAGGTAAACAAGTAACTTAACGAGTTTTTTTTTCGCAAAACATAAGGCTGTCTTTGTTTCATTAATCATTAATACTATGTGTTAGTATTGAAAAATTGCTATATTTCAAAATTTAGTTTTAACTCTAGGAAAAACATTAATTTGTCAGTACCCCTCCATTTGTCTGTATCCATAACAATTTTGAAGAATCCTGTTGTAAAAATCATACATATTGAAATGAACAGCGTGAAGAAAATTCTTACGTAACTGTGAAGACAGTTTCAAAAATTAAATGAAAATTTCATCAAAGTATACGCTTAAAGATTTTATTACTGTGAATGTGACCATTCCTCAGTTTCAGGAAATATTAAAAATCTAGAACACCAAAAACCCTGTGATAAAATAGCTCGTGACCTTCCACTTTCACCCAATATTCCTAGGTTCCTGTCAAAAAAATAAAAACTTTGTCAGTTAATTAAATGTGTATGATTATTCTAAAATTGTTCACATTCTTGATATTATGCAAAAGAGCAATAAAAATTGACTTGACACTGTATGGATCTTTCTATTACAGGTTTTACGGTAGTCGAAATTTTTAACACCATTGATCTTTAATATTCTCATATTACAGGCCTGCAACTTTGAAACCTCTGGAGACAATGAACTCTGCCACTGCGACATGGAAGAAATGAACTGCAATTCGGTAGAAATTCCTAAATTGAGATTCAAAATCATAATCCCTATTTGCAGATCATCATGGCTAATGAAAACCCACACCTTGACACAGCCAACCTTCTCATCATGAAAAAGGGCTTCGAACCGCACATTGCCAACTTTTCTAGAATGCGATCACTCGACTTCAAAAAGTGGGATTACTTGAATTATATGGCTGATAATGTTTTTTTTTCAGAAAAAAGTGATCCCTGGATTTGAAAAACATGTACAGAGATTTGACCTGTCTTTCAATCAAATTCGGTATATGGACAGTGATGTGTTCAAACCATTTACCAATTTGAGCAATCTCGATCTGTCTCACAACAACTTGCAAAGCATCAAGAAGTGAGTGTTTGTTTCCTCAAAAAAACGTAATAATTTTTCCAGAGCCGTTTTTGATAACATAAAAGACACTCTCCATCGTTTGGATATTGGTTACAATCGCATCAAATCACTTCCTGATGGTGTCTTTGAAGGACTTTCCAATTTGAAAACTCTGTTCCTAGATGGAAATCCAATCAAAGAGTGGAAGTGAGCACATGAGGTTTTACGCTTCGTAATGCATTTCCTAATTTCAGAAAAGAAATGTTCAAAGGACTTGACAATTTGGAGAAACTTAGTATGGACAACTGTAAACTCGAAAGTCTTCCAGCTGATCTTTTTGAACATCTACCGTAAGATTTGACTTGAGGAATTGGCAACAATGTTCGAGATTTCAGGAAATTGAATACATTGTCTCTTCGCGAAAACCCATTCGATGAGATTCCATCAGCAGTCGCTAACAAGAAATCTTTGAAGAATGTTGATATGAGGTTAGTCGATAAACAATTTTCTTTTTTTTTCAATAGTTGTTTCCAGTGCCACAAACCTCACTGAGATTCGTGATCATGCATTTGCCGGAGACTCAGATCTTGAGGAAATAAATCTGGAGCGAATGCCATACTTGAGTGCTGTCAGAGATTGTGGATTCTGTGAACTTTCGAAGCTCAAATTTCTCATGCTGAATGATAATCAGAAACTGATCGAACTCCATCCAAACGCTTTCGGATTCATTAAGTCTGATCCAGGACACAAGGCGGCCGCACTCACCACTTTGTATCTGGACAACTCAAATCTCAACTTCATCAGTGAGCACATGATTGACTATGACAATCTTCAATTGTTCAAAATTGGAAATAACCCTTGGAAATGTGACTGTGATACTCAATTTTTGCTGGAAGAGAAGTTCTCCTTCAAGCAAGACTCTGTCGCTCCAAAGTGATTATCCTAAAAATCTCTCCAGAATCTAAAAGGGAATTTTTTTTAGATGCGCTTCCCCAGCTGCTCTCCAAGACAAGTTCCTTGCCACTGTTCGTGCGTCGGATGCTTGCGATCGAGCACGATTCCTGGGAAGATCTGGACGGTAGGGTATTGTGTGACATTTTGTTTGCACGTAACTTGCATGTACTAACATCATAAACCTTTTTGCCAACCACTTTAGATTCAGTTCGGTGCTGGGATTGGCGCTTCTCGCTGGATTCCTCGCCATTGGAGGATACTACATGGTTTCGTCTGGAAAATTGGAGAAACTTGTCAGAAGGGTAAAATATTCGAAAGATTTTCAGAACAAGTTGTGCTGTTTTCAGGTGAGAAAGGAGCCAGAAGTGACATATACCAACTTGCAAAACGGAGGAGAAGACATTGGACTGGAAACTGACTTCCAGCCAAGACCAGCTGAAGTTTAATTGAACTTTTTAATTCACTGAAATGTATCCAACCGGTTATTCAATGACATGGCCATTCTAGTTAAAGCATTTTTCCGTAACCTGCTACTGTATTTTATGTATTTCACCTTTTTTTCTTCTTTCTTGTCTGTGATTTCTGTCATCATTTCTTTTCTTGTGAGTTTTTTTAAGCATCCAAGAATTTTGATATAATATATTTAATATTTTTCAAAATTGTACAAAGTTTGGATTAGTGTAAGAAGAAAGGTACTTGGGAAGAGCGGGGAAAAGCTAAGCTAATGACGTTATAAGATTATATTTTGAATGCAAATGAGCAGGAAGCGAATGAGTTTCAGTGGGTGTTAGTTGACAGCCAGGACAAATTCTGGAATTTGTGATCTTGACGAATCAAACTTTGAGGTTTTTGTTTACCTTCGAAAGAGATTTTTCCATCTCCATCAATGTCGGCTTCGTTGAAAAGCTGTTCGACTACCTGGCGGGGGAAAGAGGCTTGAAGAGACAGCTCACGGACAATTGAGAGCATTTCCATCTTTTCAATGAACCCATCCTTGTCCTGAAAACAATCAGGAGAATGTTTTCAATGCTTTTTTCTAATTTTCTACATTCCAGAATACCGTAGACACTCTAATAGAAAACCCTTGAACATCAAGTCCGCATATCTCATTTCTTGTAGTAGTTATGAAAAAGTGGTCAACTGAAGAAATATTCATCATAATATCAAATATTTTGTCAGTTTATCACTTTTCAATATCTCTCACAGAAACTCAAAAAAACTGGCTCAAAGTTGGAGGTCAGAGGTAGAGTTCTATTAGAGTATTTACGGTATTTGTTTCATACAAATTCAAAATGATCATCATACCTTATCAAACATATCAAATTGTTCGCGGAGCTGATCATAAGTGTATTGGTTCATGGAAGAGGTGCCGTTCATTAAATGGGCAAATTCGTCGAAAGTGATGACGCCGTTTTCTGAAATAAATAGGGACATGAACCTTTAAAGAACAAAAAATTTATGAATACAAAATGAGACTAGAGTATGAAAAAAAACTGACTTAGCATCCCCGTAAAATTCAGAGGACTTTATTCAATTTACATGTGAATTTTCGAGAGTATTTCGATTTTCGGTCCTTCCATCGGATCCAGAAATTAAAATGAAACTCACGATCATTGTCTCCGTGGTACATTATAAGACGCAACTCCAGCTTGGTTGGTCTTTGGCCGCACTTTTGCATGGCCTTCTCAAGCTCGTCGATTGTGATACGTCCGTCGTTGTTGGCATCGAAAAAGTTGAAGGCTCTTTTGTACTCTGAATTAGATTACGGCACTATAAAACAATCCAAAATGATGAGAATATGAACAAACCTTCGATTTTATTCTTGCAATTGCTAGCGGTGATTTGGGTCTGAAAATATTAACTGATTGTGAAACTCCTCAAAGTATGGGTCCCATGGATCACTGAACTCATCTCATAATCCCCAGAATCATCTCCTTCATCATTTGTTCCCTTAAATCTCATCATCCCCCGCTCCAATACATCTTTAGAATGTTCTCTCTCGAGACTAAAGTTTCCAAAGTATTCCCAGACAAGCGCCCATCTTTTTTTTTCTCATTCAAACCTTTTCGTTTGGAAAGAACATCAGATTATGTTCCGTGTTGTTTCCAACCGAACTCCCTCGAGAGAAATGCGTAAAAAATTGACAAATGCACCTTGCGAATGCTATTTATCACTTCCTTCTTCCTCTTTGCCTTGTAAAATGTTTTGTGGTAGGAATTCTAATTTTAATTCACATCTACGGGTGAATTATTTAGGAGACAAAAACATGGGGATAATTTGAAAAACATATGTTTCTCAATTTTATTTCCGGTTTCATCTTACGGAAAAACTAATAATTCATGCAATTATTTTTGTTTCACGCGTCTTCTGTAACATGACTAACATTAGATGAAAAATGTCAATGCGCCGGATGAATCGAAAAATGGTTTGAAATTCGATATGACTCCCAATTGAGAATTCAGGCTCTCACATTCGCCTTCTCCGTCGAATTGTATGAAATTGAGGACTACCACTTCAAGGAAATGAGTATTAAAAATTTGAGATCATATGTACAGATCAAAAAATTGAAACGTGATTTGGAGCACTACAAATAAATGATCGAAGAGAGCATGAAACCTTATAAAGGCCGAAAAACATCTCTAGACGTCAAAAACGTTCACAAACTTACAGGTTCCTTTTCTTTTGTGCTATTATTCTTCTTATGACTGTTTCTGGTTGACGAAGACGTCTGTTTAGCGCTTGATCTACTCGAATACATGCTTTGTGACATTTCAAGTCTCTGAAAGATAAAAAAGAACGTGAAGAGAAGGAATTAGAAAAAAATAGAGCAACGGGCAAGGAACATGGACAAGGTGAAAATGAGTTAAATTCTCTAGATGGCTCATGTGTCGACGAGGGCTCACTTACTGCTCCTGGAGCAGCGAAAAGTGGGATGCGCTTAGGCGTCTTCCATCTTTCCTATTTTTTCCTGTTCGACTTAGACGGCTGTTAGGTTTTCTTGTACATTTTTGATCGTGGTAAATGAGATAAGTCGGTTTTTTTTTCTGAAAAAGCATGCATTCGGAAGAGAAAAACACATTGGAGGCGCAAAACGCGATAGGGAAGGGAAATAGAGACTGAAAATAAATCTGAATGGCGGTAATGAAAACTGGCAGCACCGAAAAGCATTAGGAGACACACCAAAAAAATATTCTGTGGTGGATTTCCAAAACATACATCCAATTGGTGGAATTTGTTTGGAATGTCACAATGCCATGAGCCAAATGTAGTGCTTCCTGTTTTGAAAACTATTAGGCCGGAAAGTGAGTAGTTGTAAAATTATGCTATATCGCAAAAAAACAGAAACGAGGCAAAAATTGTCTGTCACAAAAAGAAAAAATATGAACCGCTCTGTTCATTTTTTCTTTCCGCTCAATTTCTGACGACTGGTATAAATATGGCTATGAGGCAAGTTGAAAAAAATAGCGGAAAGTGGTTTTAAATTACACGGCGTCAGTGACAGAGGCCCCACCGAGCCAAGTCTCCAACCGGGGGTGGGGCTCTGCTTCTAAATTTAAAAGCGCGAAAACGCTTTCAACCCGCTTCCTACTGATGAAGGGTGTTCTAGAGCACTCTCGACCAACACCACCCACACACGTCATCATGGCGTCATGTTCGGGACCAAATCAAATGGATTAAGGTAGTGTGGTACGGATCATATCCATTTGAATAGAGTGCCCGGGAGCGAAGTGTTCTCAATGAATGACAGATTACCTTAGAGTAGTCGACAGCAGCTTTTAGCGAATCCATTTCGAGAAGTTTGAGTTGAAGGAAGTGAAGACTGAACCAGGGGTCCTGAAAAAAATTTGTGTGAAAATAATCAATGAAAATAAAAAAGGAAGATTAAGAATATCGTCTAATTAAAAAAAGTGGGACCTGAAAATTTGAAAGGCGTAGGTTTTTTTGATCTACGAAAAAGTGCGGCAAAAACGTAATATTTTAGATTTTCTCCTCGTTCGAGCTACTTTCGCAATTAAGTTTGATTTTTTCGATGAAAAACAGATTCTAGAGATGCTAGCGATCATTTTCATACCAAGAAATCTAAATTTTGTCCAGAAAATACCACTAAATTCACAGAAATAAGTTTCGTTTATTACCGTAGTGTTTCCGGGGCAAGGCCTCGAAAATTGACCGGGAAGCCGCCCGCGAAATTTTCCAGGTCCCTCTTTTTTTTTCATTCTACAATAAAACATTTTATTAAAAAAACACTGAATGCGGTCTTTTTTCCCTAAGAAACGATTAAATTTCTTTTAAAAAAGAAATTAGGCGCAATTAAATTTTTGTTTTTGAGCGCAAATGGTATATTGTCATTTTGATTTGATTTGATTCACAGTCCGATTCGTTTCATAATTTTACCTACAGTACCTGTCAATAAAAAACATACAATTACTTATTTTTCAGTGGGTGTCAGATTTCCGATCACTTTGAAAATTTTGGACGGTGTAAAACAGATCTAGAGTGAAAACCTTGCATTCACAGGATTCTCTGAAATTTTTTAGTTTTTTCAGCTATTTGCCGATTTTTGACGGGGATGTCTTTCAGAAACCGACAAGTAGTTGAAAAAACTAAAATTTTTAAAAAATGACTGCAAAAAAAAGTCTGCAAAGTTTTCAACCTTGGTCTGTTTTACACCCTCCAAAACTTTCAGGGTGATCAGAAACTTGACATTTGAGATCCAAACTCATGAAGGTGATTAAAATGGCCGAAAATCAACTGAAAAACGCATTTTTGTATTATTGACCGGTACTGAAAAATGCGCCTATTTATCAAAATATCGCAGTATGAGCCGTTTCAAAAGAGTTGGACGAGCTGTCGGGCTGAGAATTACAGGGAATACATACCTAGCATACAACTTTGACTAAACTTATCTTGGTAACTCTAGGAGGTATCCAATCATTTTCTAGCTCAAAGTTGAGGTGTCAACTACTAGAGGATTATGGAATCGCACTTAAAAAACAACAAAAACTTCGGAAGACAGAAGACTTAAATAATGAGTCTTCTTTCTTATAAACGTTTTCATGAAAATTCCTGGAAAACTTTATTGCTCAGTAAATTACATATTTCACTATTACCTTTCTCAAAAAAAATGCCTTGCAAAAGACTATGTTTATACAGACAAATATTTTGTGCGGAAGGGGAGATGGAGCAAAATCCATTGCTACAGGAAACAGAAACTTCTACTTCCCGCCCGCCCATCGTAGCCTAATGAAAATTTGAAAATTAGATTTAGCACCAGAACGAAAAACCAACAAATTAACGTTGGTGGAGGCTTGTGACTAAACGCTTTCATTCATCTTAATTGATTCAGTCACTTCTTTGAATGACTTACTTCTGATGTCCTATGATGAAAAGAAATGAAAAAAACCAGAAAACAAATAGGTTGAGAATGAAGAAAGAGAAAAGGGGAGGCCCGGATGAACAAAAAGTTATGAAGATTTGATGGAGCACATGAATGGTGATGGTCTTCTTCTACTTGTCCTACGCACGACTTGGGTTGGGACCCTAACCTTTTTATTGTGTTTTGTCGCGCTTGCATAGGAGGAAAAATATAACAAGTAGCGAGCATCACAAGAAAAGGGACAAGTTCTTCAGTTTGAAAAGTTACTTGTGACTCACTCGAACAAACAAGTAGAACGAGGAACGTATACAAAATTTCAGACATTCGCTGGTTCTTTGTTTAAAGGGAAATTGGAAAAATTCACGAGTGAAATAAAAGGGAAGAACGTCTCACATTCATATCTAACGGATTCTATTCAGCACACTGATTGTCTGTTTTCGGTTTTCCCGGTTGTCTGAAACGCCTTCTTATATTTCAATTTCTTTTTTTTCAGTTCATCCTTCATTAAAATCGTATAGTTTAAATCCCCATATCTTTATTTTAAAGGACAGGACACAATGAAAAAATACCGTTGTAGTTTCTTAGGATGCGAGAAGTAATAAAAATTCAAACCGGTGAAAATAGACAAACCTGGGAGAAACTACGTTACAGGGATAATAATATGATTTTGGTGGACAAAGTTAAAAAGAAGGGAAAAAGACGAGAAACAAGGCGATGTTTGAATACCGGAAAAGCTCAAAAAGTGGATGTTGATGTGATGACATGAATGAGAAAAAAGTATTAAGAGAAGAAAGAAAAAAAAATAGGAAATATCAATGGCTTGAGAGACGTTTACAATCTGTATTGAACAAAATAGTCGAGAGATTCTGGGTTGCGAATGGAAGATGCCTTCTGCACAGCTTTTCCGCTTACAATTTGCTTTACAGCCACTTCCACCTTCTTTCCGCTTGATGTATACTGCAAAAATATTTTGGTCTACATTTATTTTTCTCATTTTGAAAATGGTTACCGGAATATCATCAACAGCGTAGATCTTGTTTGGCACGTGTCGTGGCGACATGTCGTTTCGAAGTTTGGAAACAATTGCTGCTTGAATAGTGTGTGTCAGCTCTTGACCCGGAACCATTTTAACAAAAAGCAGAACTTCCTCGTCCATGCCCTCTTCGCTGAAATTAATGTCTTTTTTTACCCACTTGGAAGAGTTAATGAACCTCCCAGGCGGCTTTTTTTTGGAACACACAGAAAACTAAATAATATTTTTTGGAAGAGTAAAAGAAAGCACAGTTGGAAAACCACTTCTTTGGATTGGGATGCGCTTGAAATACGTTTTCAGGATTATTCTAGGAAATTGAATCGCATTCTAGACAAATTGAATCCACTTACACTAATCTACCGGCCACAATACAATCAGCAATTTGTGGAATCTTCTCAACAACCGAGTAGATTTCAGCTGTTCCAATACGAACACCACCACGATTGAGAGTGGCATCACTTCGTCCCAACATCTCGACTCCTCCAGTGGAATGGTTGACACGAACAAAATCTCCATGAGCCCAGAATGGTTCCAAACGGGCAAAATAGGCATCGCGATACTTCTTGCCGTCCATGTCATTAAGGAAGTGAGATGGCATGGATGGAAATGGTGTAACGCAGACGAGTTCTCCTTGTTCATCAGAATTTGTAATCTCCTCATCTGAAAACAGAAAAAAATCAGATTCTCCCATTGGTATGATGTTATTGAGTTCCGACTAGATTCAGAACTGTGAACTTTGAAGTACCGTAAACCTGTTCTGAAAGCGTTTCTTAATTTTTAGTTTTAAACCGATTTTTCTCGTTTCGTGCCAAAAATAATAAAAAAATCGCTAATGATAAATTGTTTATCACAATATCAGAAGTGTTTTGACAGTTGACACATCTTTGATGTCTCGCATAGGAATTGAAATAATTACGCTCAAATTTGATAGTGTGGGGAATTTTAATTATAGATTTTTTATTTCTTCTCACAAACAGATTCAACACAAGTACCAGTTTTACCAAAATCACGATATCGCAAAATTTCCAGTCAAAGAACTTTTGAATTGAACATGTTACTCTCTCGATAAATTTCGACCTTAGATTCTCTATCCTTATGGGGCAATTTTTTTATCACAATGTTGTCCATATAATCTGTCTCTACTTGTTAATGAATAATACTTCTGCTACATACCCATATAATTGAAAGACTTAATGTCCATTCCCAAGAACAAGCATTGACATTCTCCTGGTGTGATTGACAACGATTTGATACCTCCAACAAAGCAACCAATGATGTCAGTTCCACCAGAAATTGATGCAATCAGTGCCTTTAACAAAATTCTATTAAACGCTAGAACTACGAAGATAAGCACATACGCCTGGAGCAATGTAAGTGTTGATGTATGCGAAGCATTCTTTCTTCAGGGGAGAACCCGTCGAATAGACTGTGTGAATTCTGGACAGGTCGTAGATGGCATCTGTAATATTTCAGTTGATACACACAAAAGTCTTTTCAAATCTCGACTTTTAAAGTTAAATTGGGGCTTTTTTTCCGTAGATCCACACTGTGGAATAATATTATTTTTGATTTAAAAAAACTCACTAAATGGAATTTCGAGTCTCAGATACTCATCATACAGCTTGGCACCCATTCCGATCATGGTGCATTGTGTTTTCGCAGCAATTTTCATGATAATATGAGTATCTGGGGCAAGTGGGCATTCATCGAACAACACAACTGAACCTTTGGAATAGAGGAATGAAATCATCCTGGAAAATGATAATTGAGTGAGATTTCAAAATTTCTGAGAGCTGTATAAGGCTGAAAAACTCACCAATTGTACATCATCCAGCCGCATGTGGTGTAGAAAAACATGCGATCATGTTTCTTTGAGTCTCCTTGTACCAAGTGTTCTTCAATGTGCTTCAGAAGTGTTCCACCGACAGTGTGCACCATAGCTTTTGGGATTCCGGTGGTTCCGGAGCTGAACATAACAAATAGTGGGTCGGAGAAGGGTACCTGCAAGGGAGAAACCAAAATTTCGTGTTGTTAACAAAAATTGAAAAATAAACTTACTGGAGTGTATACAAATGGGAGAACCACATCATCAATTGGAGTTTTGAATTGTTCTAGTGAGACGAATTTATCACTGTTGTTGTATTTTGTTCCGTCAAATTTGACTGAGGTGAATGTGTCGGAGACAACAACGATTTGAAGAGTTGTGAGCTCTGATTATTATTATTATTTCTATTTGCAGCTATAAATTTAAAGAACCAACCTTTAACAATTTCATTGATTTTGTCAGTTTGATCAATAAGCTTCTTTTTGTATGTGACGTGATTGACAGTGAACAAGACCTTTGGATGAACTTGTCTGAATCTGTCAAGAACTCCAGCTGGTCCAAAATCAACAGATGCTGAGCACCACGCAGCTCCGACAGCGGCAGTGGCAAAAACAGCGACCAAGGTATCATAGGTGTTTGGAACAAATCCACAGACAGTATCTCCTGGGCCGATACCGTAGTTGCGAAGAGAAGTTGCAGTGCGATAGACATCTTTGCGTAGCTGGTCATAGGTGTAATCCACCACTGATTCATCAATGCCTAAAAATGCTGTTTTTAACGAAAATTAAAATTGATTGAGACGTTTTTCATCGAAAAGAATCATCTTGTTATTCAAAAAAAAAATTCAAAAGTCATTTCAGGTGAGTTGTTCTCTCTAAAAGGAAGGGAAATTTATATTGAAACTTCAATTCATATTTCACGTTTTGGAACGTCCTAGAATTCTAGAAAATTGTTTTCGAAAATCGCCGGTTTTTGCACTGAAATCACAATTTTTGGTACTGAAACTAATATAACTCGTCTGAAACTGACGAGTGGATTTCAAAATTTCGGGAAAAGTCTCGATAGGCTTAACCTATCCTGAAAGTATCTTAAAATCCTGGTTTACAAGGTGTTGAGTTTTCCTTTTTATTCTTTTTATCACTCAATTTAGAAACTCACTAGCATTCAAAACTGCGATATCGGTGGCTGTTCCTCTCTCGATGACGTTCTCCGTATAGTTGAGAGTGGCGCCATTGAACCATTTTGGTCTCTCGTTGATTTTCATGTTGTGATCGATGACCTGAAAAAGACCAGGTTCGTGATAAAATGATAATATCTTTGATCTACCTGATGATAGTCTTGATGAAGTTTGACATCCGAGATTTTAAGCAGTTCTTCCCAGAAGATTCCGTAGTTGTCGCATGTGAAACGGTGGAACGCTCGGTAATCGGCTGAAAATTATGAAAAATTGGATGAGAACGGGGGTGAGCAGCATTCTTTTTATAGTGCCAAAAATCTCAAAAATTCGAAAATAGGCCTACCGAACTTCTGATTCGTTTTTTCCTCAAAATGTTTTCTGAGAGTCAACTCGAACGTTTCGAGATTTTGTGGAACTTTGTAGTAAATTGGTTGTGGTGTCTCGATACTGGCGATTCCATCCCCATTGGCATGCCCGTTCACGAATCCACCGTTTTCGTGTTTTTCGTGAACCTTTCCGTTTGCAGACGCGGTCATTCTGAAAAAAAAACAAGAGGTGGAAGGTTGATAGACGGAAAAGCTTGTTGCGAAACATTTGGAGGACACGAAAAACTAGCCAATTTTATCACTACCTAGGCGTATTTTTTGCGAGGTTTATCACACGCTTATCATATATTTGCCAGGCCATTAACCGTGGTGTGATTGCCCACAATCACCAGATATTGAAAAGGTTTTCAGGGTTTTCAGTGAAAATGTAAGAGAGGAACAGGACTGATTGCAATGCACAACACACTGATCACTGTTCTTACATTATAGTTCCTAGAAATACGGAAAACGATCAGAAATTACCAAAAATGATAAACACAACGTGACTACTATAGGATTGAGAACAGATGATATAGAATCTCTCATATCAAACATAAAATATGAGACATCGGGACAAAATAGGTACAAAACCAAAGAGAAAGAAAGAGAGGTGAAAAGATAGACATATATTTCAATGTCAATTGTTCCGTGAAAGATCTCTAACCAAAGAAGATAAGGCATGTCAGTGTAAAAAAATTGCAAAAAAGCCCACACGCGTGGTGAATTTGATTGAATCATGATTTGATTCTGGCGGCTGCGATGGGAAAAGATGCAAAAAAATGTGAAATATTGAAACAAAAAATATGACGTTGTTTGTCTTTTTGTATATTTCTGGTTTTGCATCATGCACTTTGACAGAGAAACAGAAAGAGGGTGAAATGAAAAAGAGAGTGGTTTTGAAACGAAAACTCTTCTTTATCCTATCTGCCAATGTCTTCTTCCACTAACTGCGAATGGGAAACGGTGAAAGATTCAAAGTTTAGATAATTTGCGACGATAAGAACATGTTTTCTTTCGTCTTTCGCTTTTCAATTGGCCCCCATCTCAATTTCTGTTCCCTACCGATTTCAAGTCTTATGATCGTTGGACCGTCTTTTTTGTTTTCAAGTTTTTGTGGAATCTTGGTTTGCTAAACGAACGCGCGAAACAGTAAAAAAGATTACAAAGTGTTACGAAGGGACTCAAATATAAAAAAGAAAAGAATTCGGAGAGAACAAGAGACGCAGAGAAATACGAGGAGAGCCAAGAGAGGGACTGCACTCGCGTTGCAACGTGTGTTTACCGCCTGCGCGTCTTGCGACCCGCATAGTCTTTCTATTGCAAAGCACACGGCCAATGAAGTAATCGTGGATCGGCCCAACGGACAGAAAGATGGAAAGAGTAGTGGTCTCTCCCTGTCTCTCTTCTTACTCCTATACTCAGCCCGACTGTTGATATGTTTCGTCGAAAAGGAGCGATCGGATAGAAGGACGAGAGCGTGCCGTCGTGGCCTTCACGTTTCTTCGTCGATGCGCTATCGTATACTGTTCCATTTGTGGTCAAAAGTAGTTGATTGGATATTTAGTAGTCTTTGTGTACCGAAAAGAATTTGAAAAGAAAGTGAGAGTCCATGACGTCGTACAGGGCCTAATTTGAGGTTTTTTTGTTGAAGAGAAAGTAACTGGTGCAATTTAGAACTAACATTTTATGACAGGAATTATGCTAATCCGTCATGAGGAGATGGATTCAGAACGTCGGAAAATTAGTATAAAGTACATCTCATAAAGGTTAATTGAGGTCAATACAAAAAAAAATTGAAAACTGCTTGTTCAGTTGCGCAGTAGTTTGCTACTTGCACGTTGATGACTATAGAAAATACAAGAACAAAAGTAGTTATTCTTTGAAAGATGACACCGTACCAATAGTTTTTTGGCCTGGGAGGAAATGAGGTTTTCGTGATAACAAATTCTCGACTTATATTTTGTGGCCTCATTTGTTGCTAGTTTCGAGTGGTTAAATTCAAAAAGTATTTCAAAAAAAATAACAAGAGTGTTCAAAGCAGCCTACGGAATTCCTAACGAACATATTGCAACACGGCGAATAATATTGGAAATCGAGTTTTTCTGATTTATTAGCGCTTTTCTCGATACAGGGGAAAATCAGCTTTTTTGGCATTAAAAATTCTTGGTCTAAATTTTTTTTTCAAAATAGGTAGAAATTGTAGAGAGTTTGAGAACAAATCAAATGATCTGAAAAACGTCTGATTTGGCCCAAAATAAAAGCCCTGATAGATTTTCTAAAAATTCAACTGAATTTTGTCATTTTTGAAGGTTTTTGAAAGTTTTCAAAAAATCTGTCGAACCATTCTCAATGAAAATAGGTAGGATTTGTCCAGAATTTTACGAGAAATTTGCTGATATTAAAATCAACCCATAAAATTTAGAATTTAGACCCCTGATAGGATTTGAAGCAGTCGGATAACTGTAGATTTGAGGGAAAACTATTATTTTTGTTCAAAAATTGCTGCATTTTTATTTGGCGTGCTATTATTGGCGTGGCATTTTTGGCTTGGATCGGCGTGGAATGACCTAGAAAAGGGAAAGTTGAGGGGAAAAGTGATTCCTAGAGTCTCAAATCCATACATATGTCGGTTCACGAACAAATTAACTTCTTTTGAACTTTTTGAATTTAGCTCTCGTACGAAATATCAACACGTGGTCAACGTGCAAAGTACTTTTGATATTATGATTAATATTTTGTCAGTTGACCTTTTTTCGATATTTCTAATTGGAACCGAGATGCTAAAAATTGAATGTGTAAAAATTGATTGTTAGAAAAGTATTGTATGAGTTTTCAGGGTTAAGCGATTCATAAAACTTACCGTAAACACTCTACTAGAATGATTTGCCTAACTTCCATCTAATATTAAATTTATCTCGATTTTTGTAAAAGATATGAAAAATATTCAATTGCCAAAATACTTTTGAAAATATGATAAACATTTTGACTGTGGACCATTTTTTGATATCTATCCTATGAAATAAGGCACTTGGACTTAATGTTGACGTATTGGCGGAAGGGTGTTCCATTTTAAGTGTATACGGTAATTGGACATTCCCAGAAAATATCATTTTGAACGAAATGAATATTCAAAGAGTGAAAAATAGCTACACTTAGATTTTTGCATTCAGCCGGATTCCACGAATCCACTGAAAGATCAGTGTCAATCCCTGGAGAGATGTGAATATTTAACAAAAATGCTCGAAACAAGTGACAGATTTCGGATTGTGATGATTAGTTGGCAAACAGTTTTGCATATTCTAATTTGAATTGCAAAATGAATCAGAAATTAGAGAAAACGATTCTGCAAATTCATACATCTCGCGAAACTCCTAATTCACCTGACCTAAGAAACGACGAATTGCCGAGATTTTTAAAAGAACTCTGCTCACAGTTGTTTTATTGAAGAAAACATTTATTTGTTAAAGAAAAATTGTTTAAAAAGTTGTCCATTTAGCACATGTGGAGCTTGGTGCACACATCAGATGGAGCGGTTCCGTTCTCGAGTTCGTGAATGATTGGGTCAAGCTTGGTGTCAACGAACTTTCTGCATTCTTGGGTTCCGAATGGGATACTGTGGAATTCCTTCTTGCACTCGGCATCGACGGCCTGGATAGTCATATTTTAAATTCAACATCCTACTTTGGCAACATACCTTCTTGATGGATTCAGTGTCCTCCCCGATCATTGGGTCGACAATCTTGACGGACATCTTGCACATTTGGCACTCGAGGTCGAGGGCTTCGGTTTGGGAGAAGAGCACGGCAAGGGTGACAGCGGCAAGGAGGATGAAGGTTCTCATGATTCTAAAAATCACAATATTTTAGTGAGATCGAATGAAGTGAAAAAGAAACGGAGAAGGAAAATGAAGCGAATGATAATAAGTTGAAGTGACGAAATGATATTATAATAAAAAATGAGACCACTGAAAATCACTCATCATCATTCTGACAGGCCAAACCCTCGTGGAAAAAGTCGGGCGCTCAAGTGTTTGATAAGGGTAATGTCTTCGTTTGGAGCCGATCACGGATGCGTTTACGACCAGCTCTAAAAGTGAAAGATCGAAAATAGAGCGAAAGTGAACAAAGTACTCGTGGAGTGTAGGGCCGTTCGGTAAAGCTTAAGTGAAATTTTTTGAGCAAGATATATGATATAGAAAACGGCAAATTAGACGAACTTTATTGTGTTGTTTGAAAAAACTTATAAGCCTCCTGGTAGTAATTATGATCAATGTTCTACATGTAAAAATTATTCTGATCAATATGCTGGTACAAAAACATTGAATCTGTGGACAAAAATTGCCGGTGGCCGTGGCCGAAGGTCCCACAACGACAACTACCGTAACTGAAATTTTAAATTTCCTGTTTAATTGTATAGTTATTTCCCGCTTTTTGTCGGTTTTTTTCCGTTAATTTCTACCAGGAAACTGGCAAAATAAAAACTTCAGACAGTGAAAAAATTTAATGGAAATGCACGAATGTGATGAAATAAGGCCTGAAAATTAAAACATTTTTAAGTTACGTTAGTGGTTGTTGTGGGATTTTGTGGCCACGACCGCTGGTGTTTCTTTTCCACAGCTCTCCTTTTTTTGTAACATCATAATAAAAACAAGAACAAACTTCTTCCGAATTTGAAAATGTGAAACAAGATAATTTCAGAGTCTGGTCCCAAAACAAGTTTCATTAAACTATCTATCTTTAAGCAGAACAAACAGGGCTGTTTTTTTTCTTCCCCCCAAAATAGCTAACTTCTCTGTAAACTCAAACAGAAACTTTTGAATTATTCTTTCCACAATAAGAAACCGCATTTTGTGTTTTATAGCCTGTGACATGAGATGGAGAAGATTGAATCTGTATACTGTATTTGATAACACTCAATGGGGCAATTTCATTCAATCATCAGTTCAACATCAACTCCCAATCACTCTCAGATTTCAAGCATTTATGTTTTCTCATTTTTTGGAAGCTCCAACGGGAAACAGTTGTTGTACAAAATGCATTTATTCAAAATAAAATCAAAGAAAAATATACAAAAAGTTACATCATTTATTTGCATTCGTGAAGCTTGGTGCACACATCCTTTGGTGCGGTTCCGCTTTCAAGCTCCTAAAATTGGAAAATTTTAAATTTCTTTAATTTTTAACTATCGAAAATTAGTCAAAAAAAATTTTTTTGGGGATCTCTTAAACAAACTGCTTGCATTAATTATCTTAGAAATTTCTTCGTAGACCTCACCTTAATGATAGGGTCCAACTTCTCATTGACGTAGTGATCACACTCAGTGGTTCCAAATGGAATAGCGTGGAACAATTTCTTGCACTCGGCATCGAAGTCCTTCTTGATGGTAGTCACATCCTTATCAGCGGATCCTTCATAAGTCTTGACAGCTAGCTCACACATCTGACATCCCAAGGAGCTTCGTTGTGCTGGCAGGACAAGGCAGAGAGCAACTGCTGCAAGAGCAGCCAAAACGAGTACAGTCTTCATTGTGATTGAGTACAACTCCGAATGTGATAACTCATCACTGTTTTATACTGTTCGAGTTAATCATGTGAGGTGCGTCTTCGAATTCCTCATTGTTTATGATTGGTCGGGAAACGAAAAGTTGATACTTTCACGGTTTGTGAGCGTTTTTAACAGTGTAGTTTGACCAGTGCACGGATTATGTATACATTATCATCCTAAAAACAAATTTACGGAAAAATTCAGTACTTCAGTGTAGAAAAAGGTAATTCTATCGGTAGTACTTTCTTTGGATACTGTTGACTTTTCTATGTATTATTTGTGACAAACTGATCTGCAAAAACGATTCCCGTTTAAAAAATGGTGTTGATGTTTCATTAATCCCTGCATCATTTTGCACGTTGTCACTTGTTCCCGGACATTGGTAACTATAATATTATGCTATCACATAATTTGGTAAAATGATATGATAAAAGATGACAAGGAAATAGAGTCCATGACCGAACCATGATATGAGGCACACCTGTGCCTTAGTTCCAGAAAGTCAGAGAAAATTTATACAAGTCATAAATTGTGTGATTTGTATGCCCACATGCTACAGAAATCTTCCAGATCTTTGTGGTTTTGTACTCGATTTGTCATAAGCATTCATTTCTGACATTTCCATGATTTGCAACGCCAGTTTTCATTCTGAACCGCTATTTGGTTGAAAAAGAATGCTCATAAGAAGAATTAAAATATTAAAAAAAAATGAGCACTTGATACCCGTGACGCGGATCTTTCGAGGTTTATTTCTTATCGCAGATTAGTATAAATAATGATAATGATCTACATTTGAAAGAAGCATTATACTTTTGATCACCTAATAGTTTTTCATTGAAATAATACTTGGAAAAGAAACGTGTAACAGAAACTATGATAGTGTGCAGTATACATAGCAATTATGCTTCATAGATTTCTTTAGAATTTTAATGAAATTCGTTCGGGAAAATGTTAGAGAAATTTTCTGTTAGCCCAAAAATCTTTCAAAATCTCCTGCAGCTACTTTGACTTTAAAATTCGAAAAAGTATTAATGTGCGGAAACATTTGGAATACAAAAACACAAAGTCGACAAAGTTGACAAAGTTCGACATTTTGGAATTCTAACACAGACTGTTACTGTATGACCTGCATTGGAAAGGCTAACATTTATTTGAGCTTGAGCTCGATTATATCCATTCCGGTGCAAGGTAGCAAAAGATTGACAACTGACAAAACAGTTCCAATATTATGATGAACAATTTATCAGTAATTTACTTTTTACATCTTTCACAGAAACCGAGGAAAATCGGTAATTGTTCATAAGTTCACAAGAGAACTGAATTGAAGTGTTATTATAAGTTGTTGTTATTGTTTTTTTGAATTCCAGATACATACAAAGCGCAGAAATTTATTTTTAAGTAGATAGTTCGAATTTAGTACATAAATTTAAAGAATCCAAAAAAAGGGCAATAATTTATGGGCACTCGTGAAGCTTGGTGCACACATCCTTTGGTGCGGTTCCGCTCTCAAGCTCCTTGATGATTGGGTCAATCTTCTTGTTGACGTAATGGTCGCACTCAGTGGTTCCGAATGGGATGGTGTGGAACAGTGCCTTGCACTCAGCGTCGAAGTCCTGAATAAAATGGTTTGAAAGTTTTCAAGGGAAGTAGACAGTATCACAAACCTTCTTGATGGTGGTGACATCCTTGTCAGCGGAAGCATCATACTTCTTCACAACCAACTCACACATCTGACAGCTGATGGCACTTCTTTCCTTTGGAAGGACAAGTCCCGAGGCGACGGCAACCAAAACAGCCAGAACAAGGAGGGTCTTCATTCTGAGATCACCGAGAATTGAAAACGAATAAATATATTAAGTTTGAAACTATTCGAAAAAGTTGAACAAAGAATGACAGAAAATGAGATAGCACGTGTGATAGCACTACATTTTATATGGGAAGCTTTTTGATGCTGAATACATGACTAGCTGATAAGAACCAACGGTGCAACGGAGCCGAAACGTGTTGCTGGAAGATGGAAGAAGAAGTAGGTGGGGAAAAAGATTGTAGATCAAAACCATCAAGAGTCTTGTGATACAAACAGTCGTTATTGTGCACTCAAACTATTACCTTGGCATCCGTTTACGATTTTTAGCTGATAATATTTTTTAACGAGCCCATTTTGCTGTAAAAGTTTCGAGTTCCGTAAACGAGCTACAGTACCAAACAGAAACATTTTTATTCTTCCTTTCGGCCGTAATTTTGGAGTTAGACGACTTATGGCCCTGAAGTTTTTTATTCATACGTCCCAGTCAATTCTGAAAAATTTGGCAAATAATTCGGAGGGTACAAAAATTTCGGTGTCATTGGGGTACAAAGCAATTTAGGGGTACAAAATGCTCAATTCGGGAGTACAAAATACCTGAAAAAAAGGCTTAGTTTGTACCCCCCGAATTGTGGATTTTGCACCTCTAAATCACTTTGTACTCTCTTGTACCCCCGAATTACTTGCCGAAAATTTTTTTAAACATTAAAAATTCAATTTTGTCGGTTTTTTGCTATACTCAACTGGATACATTCGTTGAGTTCCTAATTTGTTTTACCACAAATTGAAGTTCTGAGAAACCTGGATATTTTTTTCTAGTAGAATTGCTGTGTCTGGATTTTTTTTTAATTTTAGATGTTCAGCCATTACTATTAGGTTGTTCGGAAAGTCCTTTCCACTTTTGATATGTTGTTTTCAAACTTCGTTTTCTTGAAGGGGGTAAAAGCGAGGAAGTTGTCGTTTTATCAGTATGCTGGTGAGGTCTAAAAAATGTCTACACCCCAACGGAGATCATTCTCCTCTTTTCGTTTAGTGATGAAATGCCCACCGTTTTCGCCTCTGATAATTTCCATTTTTGCACTACCATTTTATTTGTATTTCTATCTGACCTCAGATCAACTGAAATCAATCACCAATTTGTGGAGGTTAACAACGAAGATGCACCCTTTCGAACGTACTTCACAACCTGGATTCATTAATTGGAAAAATAAAAATTCTCGTTGGACGAAAATCCCCCTCCAAAAAAGCATACGGACTCAGATTTGGACGCATTAAACACCGGGATTGAAAGGGACCCGTCTCAAACTGTGCGTGATATATCAAGTACATCAGTGGCAAGCCTTTCGTCAAAGCCATAAATTGGGAACTCTGGGCAAGGTAAAAAAAAAGTGGGAAGATATGGATCACACCTTTTCGCTCAGAGCAACTTTGTTTCATGTGTGGTCACCTGTTTGAATCTTCTCATACTGCGTTGCACACATGAATGTTGAAGTTAAATCATTACTAGTGGCAATAAATGGGTAATGTATGATTACTATAAACAACAATCCAAGTGGGTTGACGAAGGCACTCAACCACCAGACGTCCCGTAACGTGAAATTCACGTTAAAAATGGGATGTTTTCGGCATGGATGTCTACCAAGGAGTGGAGTATTGGGAGCTGCCAGATAATGGTGTCACTTTTATGACCGATACCTATTTTTGTCAGGTGACATAACTCAGACTCCATGTGGATCTCCATTGGAGAGAAACACAAAGGTTTATTTTCAAAATCGAAATTCGCAACCTCATGCGGGAAGGAGAACGGAGACCGATCTCACTGGATACGGCTAAACGGTTCTGTTTTATCTACAGTATAGTCCAAGCCTTGTACTGTCTGACTACCCTCTATCCAGCCATTTCTACCGACATCTTGATTGAAAAAAGTTCACTTCAAAGCATGATGTCAAAAATGGGTTGACTTGATTTTGAACTCGCTGTGACCGGAGTTCTGGAAGGAAGGCATCCACAATTTGGTGAAACGTTGGCAGATAGTCACTGATAACAATGATCAAAAAAAATGAAAAATGGAAAGGACTTTCCGAACAACCTAATAGAACTACGTTGAGCTGCTGGTTAGTAGAATATTCTTCATTTGAGAGCTTTTCAAATTTTATGATTTTATTGCTTTTTAAGAAACAAAGTTTTTGGACTATAAAACGGGATACGGGGTATCATGAAATAATTTATTAAAATATTTTAAAATGACAATAGATTTGAAAATATATTGACAAAGAGATTTTGCGTATTTTATGCTGTAGAGTTTGTAAGATTTAATCCGCGATGTTGATGAGAAATTCGCTGATCACGTTAAGTTTCAAACAGCCGGAAACTGGTGTTTTCCATTTTCTTGTATCCACGATGCAGTTTGGCATTACATTTTTGACCTGAAAAGTTGAAACCTAGGGATTAAATTTATTCAAAATGGCACATAAACCGCTTTCAAACTCTTATAAATGTGTGGATGTTGAAAATAAGTGAACTTCTTGAGAGAATCACGTTCCTGGAAATATGGATATTCAAAAATTTTAAAAATTTTCAAACTGACTGATATCTCTTCGAGGCTTTCAGTGTTGAATGGAAAGAAAAAAAGATTGATCGATTTGACGTCTTCCGGAATATTCTGCAAGAGGTTGTTGTACGTCAGCATATCGTAGTCTTCTCGCATGAGCTGATGTGAGAGTCTGGAAAAAAATTATTAGTAAAAAAACTAGAACTTTGAAAAAAGGATACATACGCCAAAGTGATCTCATCAAGGTTCCAATAACTCATTTCAACGATCAATACTTTCAGAGCCTCACTTTCGACGCGATCAACAATAGAGAACTTCTTCATGTTTGGAATATATTGTAATGCTGAAAATAATTTTGCAATACTTAAAAAATATTTCATTAAGCAACAAACTCTCGAGATATTTCCCGTAAAGCTCGTCGTTGTTCATTGTACGATTTCTCAAAGCATCCACAACGTATGGACGATAATTCTTGCCAATGGTCATATGAGTTACATTATTTCACTTTTCCATTTCTAAGCCAACATCCGAAAAATTGATCTCTGGCATTCTCAAACGTCTGTATGATTTGTGAAAAGTGATTATCATATTTTCACAATGCGATTGGAGATCAGTGATAGTTTTATGGAAACTATTATCTCTGAAAAAATAGTTTTTATGATAATATAATTGTTTTGATAAAAACAGCTCGAGAACTCACATTTGTTGTATATTAATAACAAGGTGGAGATGTCAAAGTTTTAGACTTTCGTCCAGAATCATGTTCAACAAACTGGTACCATAAGTGTGATTTTGAATTGACAAGGTGAGAGACATCTTCTGTTGGTTTGCTTTCAGAAGAGAAATCTGAACAAAAAGCTAGAATAATGTCTTAAGGTGGGGGAGAGAGGGACGTTCAAGTTTAACTCCAAAAAAACGTTTTTTTTCTGTCTACCTCCTTTTAAATCTGTCTACCCTCTTTCTCACCATTAATGCATCTTCTCTATCCTCTTGGTCTTCGGAAATCATGACATCTTCCAAGTGCATATGCTCAATGTTTTCCAGCTTTTTGTTTTGGTAATGTTTTTCTACTGAAAATGATACTTTCCCAACTAAAAACTGGGATAAACTTTCACTCACACTCATCGATAGAATCCTGTTCAAGTAACAACGACACAAGTTGAAGATTACTGATTTTACCCCCAGAAAGACACTTTTTAATGACACATGACGGCAGGGGGCAGTTTCTAAAATTTGAAATTTATTGCAAAAAAGTTTTCTCGTGGAAAACAATAATTTGAAAAATATATATATTCAGAAATGTTTGACAATTTTCTATTGTTCCTTCTCAATCTGAACTAACCGGCATGAGAATTTTTTTGTAATGAAACTCTACTTTCGTACCTTGATAATATCTTTGTTAATCAATGGTAGGAACACTTCTTGGACACCCGCTGTCTCCACCGAGCAATGCTTGTGAACACTTTCCAAACGAAGCTCTTCCAAATTTTTGAAATTGTTATCTCGAAAATGTGCTAAAACATAAAATTAATAAAACAAACATGAAAAAAAACACACACACCATCAGTGAAATCGCTGACATTTACGGAGATAATATATAATTTTTTCAAGTTTGTGCATTTATTGAGAAATGCACAGTGTCCTTCGTCCATAGTTGAATTCTACAAACAAATTATTTCGAAAATCAAACTCATTCGTTTCTTACCGGATAGTACTGTTTTACGTGGCCTAGGTGAGTGTAGTTCGACTCAATGACCACAAATGGAACGTATTGAGCAACATGGAGCGGTATGTCCACACCGTTCCGATATGATTTCGCGTTGCTGTCAAGATAGATGTACCACCTCCAATGCGCTCTTTTCTCAATTCTCACACCGAAATTTTCCTGTTTCACCGCTCTCATAACTTTGGTCCGTCAGAATTTTTTAAAAGACTTTGTAATGAAAAATGTTTGGTGTAGATCAAATATATACAGAAAAAAATTGAAGCGGTTTGGAACACTTGCTCTTGAGATGTGCTCACTGAAGCATAAAAGGTAGGGTTCAGGAGTTCGGCTATAACTCGGCTCAAAATGATCCAAATTCGATCAAATTTGAGAGAATGTGTGTCTTAAACTGCTTTACAACATACATACAAAACTTAGTATTTTGGAAACAAAAATTTTTTGGCTTTGTTCGATTATAGCGGGACAATGGCGGATGGGTGGTACAATGGGGAATGAGTGGTCCAGTGGCCTAATGGGTGGTACAATGGCCTAATGGGTAGTACAAGGGCCGAATGGGTGGTACAATGGCCGAATAAGTGGTACAATAGGAGAATGAGCGGTACAATGAAAAAGCGGTACTTTTATGAAATTTTTGAAATAACATTTTTGAAATAACGTCAAATTACTGTATGAGATTAAGAGTTCGACTAAAATGAGTGGGATAATAATTTTTCAAATTTGCAAAAAGGAAAAAATGTGTGAAGATTCATTATTAATTCATTATTGTATTCGATTTGAAATTTCAGACGTTTCCACGGCGGCGATCACGCATTCCGTTCGAGCGGTTGCGGGTATTCCCACCTACCGTTCCTCAAGTTTGGCTTCCTCTACGGGAGTTGCGTGGAGGTGGAGTTGAAGAGTTAATAGATTGTCGTTTTCTTGTTGAAGATCTCCGCGGAGAATTTGTTGTTGTTCCTCTTGGGCTTCCTCCTCTTGAAATTCCACCTCTAGAAATTCTTCCCATTGAACTACCTCCTCCTGCACTTCCTCCTCTAGAACTTCCTCTTCTGGATCCTCTTCCTGTTGGACCTCCTCCTCTTGAATTAATTCCTCTTCCATTATTTGTCCCTTCGATACGTTGTCTACTGGCTGAAAAGAAGTCATCGCTATCCGAAGAGCTTTCACCATTTTCAGGGAGGGAAGCAGTTGCATATCAACACTGTCATCATCGAATTCCTCATCTTCATCAGGCTAAAAAAAGGACTTGCTGCGTTTTAGCTGAGATAGACCGCTTACAGGGACAAACACAAGACGACGTCCAAACGGGTTATTAGTTGAAAACCCAGAACTCTTGATCTCATGCAGTAATTCGAAACGTTATTTCAAAGATTTCATAAAAGACTGTAAAATCTTCTAAAAGAGACTCATTCGGCTATTGGACCACTCATTCTCCCATTGTATTAGGTTGTTCAATAAATAGTGGTCACTTTTCTTCAAGTAGTTTTTCCTTCAAGGAAAACAAGAATCATTGAGAAATTATTTCGCCATTGGAGTTCATAACTTCTTGCCAGCGCAACGGAAGTTGGGCAATTCCGTTCGCGTAAAACTCTGGCGACTTAGAGGCAAAACAGTGTTCCAAAAATTTCTTGACATCCTTCCGATCATGGACTTTCTCACCAGCAAGACGATTCTGGAGAAATCGGATATGGTAGTAATTAGCTAGTGCCAGGTCGGCCGTGTACGATGAGCAATGCAAAACTTCGATTCCTAGAAGATGGAGTTGTAACGGCTCTTCGAATATTTGTGTGGTTTTTCGTTGCCATGCAAAAATTTCAACACTGAGCCTCTCTAGAGGTGAGAGCGATGTGCATAAATACCACTTTCTATTTGAAAGCAGTAGAGCCAAAGTTGATGACATAGGAATCCGGAAGCAGCTTGCGGTATTTTACTTCAGCACTGTCTAACCGAATCGGAAAAATCTGATTTTTTCTTGAATGTTGCCTTTTGAGACCGATTCCACCGTTTCCTTTGCAGAGAGCCATAGGTGCTTACTGGCATTGTTAACATACAGTACCCGTTCATCATCTCCAATGATTGTTTTGTTGACCCAGTCCGTCGTCGGTTTCCTGGAGAGGAGAGAAACGGACAGGTCTCATCGGACCTTTTTCTAAAAATTGGTCAAAATGTGGGGAACGATTTTATCGACTCTCCGAGCTCTTCCCGTTTGAGGAACATGATCTGTTACGGTGCTATTAGGATGTTGGGCTGTCAAAGATAATGCACGCAAAGTAGCACAGAGCTTTTCCTCCAGTATCATTAAAATATTTTCATTTTTATTAAGGCTAGGCCTTTTGGGTATTGGTTTATGATCCAGATCATAATTTTCTTATACGAATCTTTTGAACCAAATTTCAATCGTGGTTCGAGAGATGAGGTCTACGTCTAACATTTTGCACTTTGCTCGCTAATGGTCGTTGTTCGAGAGACCTTGGAGACATATGATCAAAGAAACACTTTTGAGTATGTGTCCGTTATCGAGAAAATCCTCGGCCGTTAGACAGTCCATTTGGAATTTTTAAATGTCTATTAAACATGCAATGTGTGACGTCTATAAATATAAAAACAGAATTGAAAAAAAAACCCAAAATTGGATAAGCAACGGTAGAGCGAAGTGAAAGTGACCACTATTTATTGAACAACCTAATACCACTCATTTTTTCATTGTACCACTCATTCTCCTATTGTACCATTTATTCGGTTATTGTACCACCCATCCGCCATTGTCCCGCTATAATCGAACAGAGCCAATTTTTTTTCCTAATACATAGCTTCTCTTCGGTACATCAAAATGAAAAAAAAATGAAACATTTTCGTTCCCAAAATACAAAATTTGTATGTGTATTATAAAGCAGTTTAAGACACATATTCTCTCAAAATTTGAAGACCTTTGGATTATTTTGAGCCGAGTTATAGCCGAACTCCTGAACCCTACCTTTTATGCTTCAGTGAGCACATCTCAAGAGCAAGTGCTCCAAACCGCTTCAAAATTTTTTTCTATATATATTTGATCTACACCAAACATTTTTTAACACAAAGCCAATCTTTTTAAAAATTATGACAGAAATTTTTTCTTCGGAGTCTTCGTCATGTCTGTGAAGATTCAGAAGACATAAAAATTGATTGAGTTTTAGAAAATTTATACAACGTTTTGTTGAAAACCCAGCTACATTTAACAAAAAAGTTTTCAATGATTGGATAAGTTTGAGCAAAGTTATGAACAAAAGTATAGAGTGACACTCACTAACGTTCGCCAGTCCCAGTCACAATATCCATTGTCACAAACCACAAAATATTAGGCTCAGGTATTTAGCTATGTTTTTGAAACCAACGTCCCCTCGATATGAAATCGAATATAGAAATGTGAAATCATCTGAAATTGTGATCTTTATCCTTCGAGTATTGTTAACTTTATATTTCGTTAAAGTGTCTGGTCAGCACACTATACTTACCGGAAGCTGCATCTAACATCAACACCAACTTCCACAGCGTGACCTTCTAAATCACCTTGTTGGCTATGGAAAACGTTATCTAGCTTAGAACTTTTCCAGAATTTTAACTAAATTTACACATAAACTAGCTAAACCACAAAGGATACATTTTTGATTGAATTAAGATTTATTTACAACGATAGCCGAATTCATTCACTTCGATAAAGCTTACATAATTTGTGCCTAACTCAACAATGAAGCGACAAATAAATTTCAATTGATTCTAAAAAAATAGCAATTTCAATCTACCATCGATATATATATCGAAAATTGGGGTTCTAGTCTCAAAAATACGAAAAATTATCACAAAGCTGATTGATTTGGAGAAATCGTTTGAGAATAGGCAGTGGCGGGCTAAGGAGGTGATTTATCTAACAGAAATTTTGAAAAAAGCATTAAGATGTTGGCTCTGAAAGTATTAAATTCTTCATTTTCAAAATTTTCAGAAAACGCTGAAATGTGTATTAAAACAGTGTTCTCGCAACAATTGACAAGCAGCATTTCAATTGTGTTCTACCACTGATTGTAAAAGAGCAAACTGGCCGATTTCTGGACTAAAAAGTGTTGGTTTTTTTGACGCCGATAATAAAACAGTGTCATTGTTCGAATTTGATAAAATGCTAGATAAGTTTTTTTTGAAAACCTGTGAAATTTATAAAACAATTGTTATCGAGTAGAACCAAAACGTATATCTAAAATTCAATTTGAAGAAGTATGTTAACCACACAACATGGGATAACTTAAGTGTACATAAGAGGAGACCATGTTAAAAATAAATGACTGGTTGTCCAATTTATAGGTAGACCTCCATCCAACGGTAAGGGTTATAGTGCCTTCCAAACCAACGAACTACGCCCTATGCTGTCTGCGTACCTGATACCTGTTCTCTTTTTAGAAACTTGACAATCTTTTTCAATATAACCAAGAAATTGTTTAAAAAATAGGAGAAGTAACTTTCAGATAATGAGATGCAAATTTTATTCACCACGGGATCGATTTTTTCTGAGTTCATGAAAACAAACAAATAATTGAATTTATTCACTTCTTGACTTCTTGCCCTCCTCGTTGTCCATTGTTCGTGTTTGATGCGGTGGTGTCCATCGCTTGTTGTTGAGAGAATGCAGCAGCTGTAGCGGCTCTATTTTCCAGACGTTGCAATCGCTCAATAGCTCTTTGAAGGTAGGTTCCCGAATGTAAATTCGTCGAAGATGAATAAGTCTGCGCGTATAATGCCTTCCTCTTTTTTGACTCGAGCAAGCTCTCATTCTCAGTCAGTTGGTCTGGATCAAGGAGATGCGAGAGATTCTTGTGTTGGATAATGTATTCCTGGTACTCTTGCCGACAGGTTCTTGCAAAATCTTTAGCAAACTTTATCTCGGCGGAATACTTATTGATCTGAAAGAAAAACATGATAATTGAAATTGATTATTTCATACAAACCTCGCCAAGGCAAGCTCTCATTTCTGGATCGATGATGTGATCCGGAATTGGACCCGTTTCAATTTCCGGAGGGAAATCCATATTGAAGAGAGCAAGTGGGAATGGCATTTTGTTTACCTGAAATTACGAAAGATGCGATTAGGAGCTGAAGATTGAGCGAAAAGAAACAAAAGCGAATTCCAAAAATAAAAAGAAGAAGAAGTTCAATTCCAGATTGGAAACAGACGAACGTGAGCAAGCGAGTGCAACCATGGATACCCGTCCTCAACAAGGGCACAATGTCGCTTTGTTCTGGTCGTCTGGCTCTAGCGCTCGCTTCTGAATGTGAATGTCACTTGATTTGATCGTTCAAAAGAGCAAAAAAAAAACTACTGCGGTGGGGAGCTTAGGTCTTCTAATCATGATATTCTCTAAGAGCACGTGCTGAAAATCAAAACTGCAGCTGAATGAAACAGAAAAAAACATTGTGTCAGAGATCAAAGCATTAAGAATTCAGAAAAACAAAGACTCGCATATATGCTGAAACGGAAGTCAAAAGACGATGACTCGAAGAGCTTTTTTTTTTCAAAAACAACAAATGGAAGAAAACTGACGACTAAGCATAGAGATCGTCTGAAACTCCTCCTCCGTTTCTAAAGAATAAAACTCCGAAAAAGCGTATAATTTGAATTGTTTATTGCATTTCAATAATAAACAGTTTCAGTTGTTTACAGTTCAATATGATTTCGCAATAATTGGAAAAAAAACTAGAGTTTACAGAAACCAAATATTAGGCTGAAATCTCTTCAAATAGTGAACAAATTTCTTTTCTAAGACCTTTTCAAATCATATGGGATTTTTGTTGTTATGAATAACCAAACTAATACTTTCATCCTTACAAACGATCAACAAAAATGTAAATGTCAGTGCTTCCTAATGCCAGAAGATTGCTTCCAGATTGGAACTGATCTATGGGGTCAATCAGTGAAATTGACAAAAACTACATGATATTAAAGTTTAGAGAAAAATACGAAAACTCCAAACCCAAAGAGAGGGAAGGTAGCGTTCAAAATACCTCTCCTCTTGCAACAAAACGTGATAAGATGTTGCCAGTCGGGTAAAAGAAACTACGTCACATCGGGTGGTTTCAGTAATCGGCAAATAGGAACATGCGATAAATTTGTAAACAAGAAAGCGCGAGAGCCTTGATGTTCATTGTTTCCTCTTAGAATTAAAAATAAAACAGAAGTCGATTCATTTACTCATAGCTCCAAAGCATACGAATTTTGTTTTCAAGAGATTCAGCTGTGTTTTGGAACTGAACTCGAGATCGTGTTTTGTTTCGATTATGACGCAGAAAAATGAAAATTCATGGGCAAAGTTTCTAGAAGTTCAAAAAAACAAACACCCGTTTGAAACGTTCGTCGCGCTGTTTTCGAAACAAAAACTATATTGTGTCATTAAACAAAACGCAGGCGCATCAGCAGCAACAGCAGAGGGAGAAGCAAAGTGTCATGTCGGAGGTGATGAGGACAGATGGCCGGCAGAAACAATGATCTTCTCGTTGGGAAAAAAGACTCAAAGAAAGAACGACAACAGGCAGCCGACTCAACGTCTTCTACCTAATTGCCAGATACGATCTTTGTGTTTGAACTAACGTTTGGGAGCGAGATTTATATACGAAACGATGTCGGTGATTTTTTGAACGGAATTCGGGCGGAGCCGACGTTACTAGAATTGACTAAGTGTTTTTGGTCTGGCATAATATGTTTACAACCAAAACGTTTTAAGGTCAAAATTCGGCAGACTAGAGTTTTAAGGTAGCGGATGAGACAAAAAAGGCAACGAAAACGGCGAATACGCAAACAAGATGATTGATAGATTTGTTCGGACAGACTGAATGCTCTAGCCGGATGTCAACTGAGAATTGATGAGAAAAGAAGATTTTCGTTTTTCACGTATGAAGTCTAAATGTATAGTTATTATAGAAAGTGTTGGTTTAGAAGACTTGGAAGCTAAAAGTGAGGAAAAAAAAGATATCCAATTAAATATTTATGACTGGAGAGAGAATGTTGGTTTCAGTTTTCCCAGGAGCTTGAAGCTATCGTCATAGAATTTTTCATTCGCATTCTAAAGCTGTAAGAATTCAAAATTATAACCACACGGAAGTCATTTTTTCTATGTTTTTTTCTGGGGAATAAGTAATCAGCGGGATCTGCTGGAACATTAAAAATGTTATTCTTGTCCGTGTTCCTCAGACAATACACCTTGTGCTTTTTATGCTGAATATCCAATTACGTCTGTAATTGTCTGCAATTTTGCATTAAAAAAATCGACAGATGCCTAACTCTTTGCCATATTCATAATTGTCATAAAACACTAATTTTTTCTTTTCAACTTGTTGAACATTGTTCATTGAAAATGTTATCTGAAGAGACCAAGAAACAAATTAGTATTGTTTAGAACAACGAAGACCAAAAAACTGATAAACAAAGATTATGTGAGAATTATCTAGAAAGATACGAAAGTAGTTACAAATCCGCCTAAATATGCACCCATCGGATTATTAAAAATTTTTGGGATTATGTTGAACTTTGATTCCAAGTGTTCTAATCTCTTATGCAACTCCATCTTTTGATATTAAAAGTCTAAAAGCAGCAGTTACAAAATTAAAAACCCTGATTTCCGAATCCGGAGGAAGATTTGAGAAATATGAAAAATTGAGATCAATCAAAAAGAGCTAGTTGCACTAAATTATTATTCAATTCAATTGACTATACAGATTCGAAAGAATCACAGTTTAAGAAAAAATCAAAATCCGAATGATGGAAAACAAAACTTGTACCGTAATCTCTCAAAAAAGCACAAATGATCTATTTAAACTATCCTATCTCTAATCCGATTGGTTTCGCAACATGATTGTTAGGGTACCAAAAGTATTTCCAATATTCATATTTATTTGCACTGATCAGTTTAATGGCCAAACTGTAGGATTTGGGATGGTTTATCGGTTTATTTTTCACTGCGTGTTCACCCTTCTATAAGGATATATGAAAACCAGTCCAGAATGTTTTATAAACCAAAACATTGAGCCCGATAATGTTTGAACTATGTATTGGTTTGTAGTGTTTTAGGATAAAACAGGGACAAGTTTTTGTAGCCTTAACAAGTGAATTGGAATCGTATAATGGAATGATTTTGAAATGTATTTCATAATCCTTTTCGAAAAAAAATTATTTAAAAACTACTCCAAACCAAACAAGAGAGATTTGCGAAAAAAAACTGAACCCGATGTTTAAAGATCAATGAATAACTTAGAAAGGGCAGATTTGAAGCACTAACCGGTTTCTTATCAACTTTTTGATCGAATGTTTTTATCGGTTTCTTTTTTGGAATAAACTCGTCATGTTTCTTTTTCAGACACTGTGGAGACTTAGGTAAACATTCGTAAAATAGACGATCTCACAATTCGCTCCATACATAAATATCAAATACCCTTACACCGTTGTTGTGTTCCTTTTTCTTGAATCTCAGCAAGTTCCCAATTCAAAATTGGCTAGAACAGAATTCATCTCAAACCAAACCGTCCTCTCTTCCGTCTGCAGAGCTAAACCTGATCTTTGCAATTCTATGAACTGATTTGTGATGTTATTTAATGAGATTCAAAACAATTACTAGCTTCCAAGGTCAATTTAGAACATTCGATATTCCATTAGGTTATTTCACGAAAACAAAACGGTTACAACGGTTAAAAACAAGTGAGATCAAAAATGGTACAACAAAGAATCCCTATGAGTTAAAAAATAGCGTCATGATTCGAGTAATCCACTGAATTTTTGAATTTTTTCTCAGATGATGGCTTGAAGTCGTACAGCACTAAAAAGTTTTCTTTCAGGTTTTGAAATAATGTTATCCAGACATAAATACTTTTGTAAAATATTCATTTTTCAAACAATTTCTCAAACGATTTCAAACAGCGTTATTAAAACATTTTTTCAAAGTCCCAAAATGGAACAAAAAAGACATACCGTGAGCCTCTAATAGAATGACCCTTTTATTTAGAAGTTTGAGCACTTTTATTTTGTTTCCTGTGTAAGGTACTGAAAAATGGTCAACTGTCTAACTGTTTATCATAATATCACAAATATTTTGTCAGTTGACTACGTTATGATATCTTTTACGGGAAATGAAATACATTTGCTTAACGTTGACTGTGTAGGGGAGAGTAGAGTGTTTACGGTATTTGAAATCAAAGACGAAGATGATATATCAAAGGTTATCCGCAAAAATCTCGTAAAAAAAATCGCAAATCATGATCTCAGACATAACAAACTACAATTAAGAATGTCTGGCGTTCTAGTTCAATTCAAAGGTTGTCTATTGTTTTAGGCTGGATGTCGTTGACTGTATTGTTCAGAACGAAAAATACCCAAACCAAAAATGAATTTCTTCCCAGATAAAACTGTTGGAACTGACATATTTCCAGGTTACGGTAGATACGAGACTGATTACCACGACTACTTGATTTACGACTCTTATTTTTCAAACTGAAACAATAGAAAAACGCTGATTCATGTCTGCGAATCATACTTTCTACGTTTTGCACTTTTTAATGGCTAGACACGATATTTTGAGAAAAACGAACTAGTCTCGAAGTTTTTATAAACTTCAGACAGATGCAATCAAGAACCCTTAGGGGTCGTGATGTTTTGAACTCATGATATTCATTAGAAACGTCTTCTGCAGATGTGTATCAATTCAAAAAATTTGGAATAGCAGGACAACAGAGTGGAACATTTTTTTCTTTCTCTGAAATTGTGTCTTCCTTAAACCCGTGACAGTGAAATCGATATTTCTTTAATTGCTTTACAACCGACCTCTACCCAATTTTCAACCTGTCCCAGTCCTGCACTTTTCGTCTTCTTATAATTTTGGAGAAGGCAAATAAATTATATCCTTGTGACACATCTCGTCGCGACGGCCCCTCGTGTTTCTTCGTGTCAGACTATCACTATGGATACGAAATGGGTTTTTTGGGATTCCCGAATCTAACAAGCATATACAATTGTTGCTTGCGGATCCAACATCGTTTTCTGAGTGCTTTTCAGTTTGTATTGATTTTAGTTTTGTCTCGATATATAGAGGATACCGACTTCAAGATAAGATCGTAGACAGGTGAATCATGGAAAGGAATAGGATTGTGAGGCTAGGAACGGGTGGCTTCATGCCACTTCGAAGAATCCAGTTCAATGAGAGAACACACCGCAATCCGGAAAGAATCACAAATGCAATCGTGAGAGGAGCACCACGTGGATTTCGGCACATTAGTTTTGAAGCGGACTTTCCACATTTGGATGCGATTCGACAGGGACTCATAATAGCGGCCAGACACGGATATCCTCGTCGGTACTTCTTCCTTCGGATGACTGTGACATTTCACAAAGTAAGTATTAAGAGAAAATATGTAAACACAAGTACCGGGAAAAAATAATCGTTTGACGTTTTAGGTAAAGACTTTGAAGTCCTAAAAAAGTGTGAGTCCAGAATTCTCAGCATTTAGAAGTGTACTGAACAAAATCAGAATTTCAGTCTTGTGAATCACAATTTCTCTGTACAAATCCAAAAAAGAAAGAAAAGTGGATTTGAAGTTCCAGAACTCTCATTTTAACTCTATCATTGGTACCTTTGGCTCTTTCGAGTACATATCTCATCCCGATAGGATTCTTCAAAAATTTTATCAATTGAAAAAGTTATTTATTTCCTCAGTATAATCTGAGATGTTGGAACATGAACAAAACATAACATATAACTAGGCAGATGGCTGTGAATATAGTTGTTTCCAAATTGTTCTCCATAGTTGGTTTGATATCATCCGAAATATTCAATTGATTTCAGCTCCATGAGAACGAAGAAGATAATCGAACGGAATTCGTCCTGAAATTCGAAAATGCTCTCCGTATTCTAAGAGTAAGACAAGTAAACTTGCTGATTTCCCGTGTCCCAATGCGTCTTCCTGAAACTAACCTCAGTTGTCGATTCGACAGAAATCATGAACTTCTGGCAAGACTTATCTGGCCTTTAATGTGTCATTATTGTTACCAACGGAGTGCTCATGCAATTGGACTATCGAACTGGAGTGTACTAGGACTGTTTCACATCATGAGCTTGCGAATGATTGTTCCACACGCCTACATTCAAGAAAGATTCTCGAGAAGAGTTTTCCTAGCGTGCTTAGAGCTCAATATTGCGTATATCAAAAGATCTGACTTCTCTTCTCGCTGATTAGTAAAGGTGGGAATTTTTTTCAAAGTTGCTTTGTAGGAAATTGTACTTTTCCAGGCTCGCTCAATTTTGCTCACCTTATCAACTACTTACTTAACTATATTGAATTATATTGAAGAACAGAACTTGTTTTGTTTTGATTAGTCGTATTTGACCAATCTTAAACATTTAGTTTCGTTTTGAAACCTCGAAAATTGAAAAATAACAAACAATCTCTCAAAAGTCTAGACGGAGTATAAAATGTAGGGTTAGTTTCTGCTTCAATAATGCCAGTGACACTGTATTCTCGCTCAATTTTATTTTTTTCAATGTTTCGTGTCATTCTTGTTAGTACTGTGAATATTCTTAAGTTTGAATAAAGCATTCCCACAATTTTAAAACTTCAAAAGACCTAAAAGTGAACCGAATGATTTTTTGAATGAAATACGACACTTGTGAATAGGGAGTAACTCTGGATTTCTTAAAAAATAATTATAAAAATTTTCAATTTGTCTGAAAATTTTAGAATACCCTGAACAGAACATGATTTTTGTCATTGACAATGTCATTATCAAACTATACTCTGGAAAAATGGGTATGGTTTAAAAATGCGTAAAAAATGCTAAAGTTAACATTAATGAGAGTTATGCCAATTTGAGGTCACTGATCTTGCTTTTTGAATTCATACGAAACTTGTCAATTACCAGAACCATAAGCTTTGTTCAGTGTACAGTGCAATATTTGAAAAATCGAAAAATTGAAGTTTTCTGAACTTCAAAGTAGACTATTATTCAAAGAAAAAAGTGAAGCATAATTTTCCGTTTCTGTAAGTCTTCAAAGACTGCTTTTGATTTGTCTTCTCGATGATGCATCAATGATACTTGTCTTCAACGGCAAATAATTCGGAGGGTACAATAATTCGGGGGTACAAAGGGGTACAACGTGATTTAGGGGTACAAAACCAACAATTCGGGGGTACAAACTAAGCCTTTTTCCAGGTATTTTGTACCCCCGAATTGAAGATTTTGTACCCCTTTGTACCCCCGAATTGTTGTACCCTCCGAATTATATGCCGTCTTCAACAGTTCAATTTTGTTTCTGCGAAGTGTTCCCAACTTTCCATCCATTTGATCTCTGGTATTTCTTATTCTCATAAACCAATTCTTACATTCTCTCTTATCCCAGCTTCTCACCCACCAAAACAATTCCCAGGAGGGTAATGACGTTTCTGATATCCACACTCTAGGTGATTGAATATTCATAGGTTTGCCCTCTCATTTTTCCTTTTCTTCTCTCCCCCACCAGACTCCGCCTTTCCTTGCGCATTCAATTTTGATGAATAATTCAGTATCTAGTTCCTTATTTTCTTCACTTCTTTCGTAAATTTGTTAATTATCCATTTGCAGTCTAGGTGAGTGTCTTTTCATGTTTCTCTAAACGCTTCTCAAATTTCGTTTTGAATCGTTTTAAATCTTCCACGAGTGTTTCTCCGTTCGGCACGACAACCACATTTCCTGTGGTCCCTTCTCTCACCCTTTCGCTCCACCCCAAACCCTTCAACTTCCGGATGAGAGAATCCGTTGAAAAGTGCTTACGAATCGATTGAATGCGGTGGTTCCTTACTAAAGGAGGTCCCTATGCTGTGCTTTTCGCCGTCCAGTTTTTTTTGGCTAGTTTTTTTTCTTTCCTTCATGGTCGCACTGGGAGGGGCCTTCTACGCAAAGTTGTGCACATGAAGAGTGGCTTCGTCCTTCGTCGACTTCTTTTTTTCCCAGCCATTGCCTACTACTTCTTCTTCGCCTACTCCTCGCCTTCTACTTTAGCTGGTGCGGGAGCAGAGAGTGTCTCTATCTTTTCTTTTTCTCCATTGGATGTGTATATGGCGTTTAGAAGTAGAAGCATTCGTAAGACGTACTGACCGCCTTGGAAGAAAGAAGAATGGGACAGAGCTCCAGATTACACGTCTTCTTTTTCCTCGTCTTCTTCAATTCCACCCCATCTTCTGCCTTTTGTTCTTTCCAACAGAATTTCTTTCAATTCCAATCCTGACTGACTCCTCCCATTTTCACATTCACAACTTCTTCAGCTCTGTTCATTCTTATTAGTTCAGAACACCTTCTTTTGATCTCTTGATGTTCTTATTAATCTTACTAACCCGTTAGCTGGATCTTTCCTAATCCTTTTAGTTGCAGCATGGAGAACGTCCGCGCGTATGGCGCTGGACTAGCAGGTGCCAACTTTGACAAAAACACGTTCTTCAAAAAACCAACAGTGCTATTCCGTTGTGCAGCGTTGGTAAGTCAACTGAATTATTGAGAGAAAAACTATATTTTTTACTAGATTCTGGAGTTAATTAAGGATTATGGGCATTTTTTGCATCTACAGTAGTACATTGTAGGAAAAAAGAGCCATCTAACTTCATGTTCTGATATATTTTTGTAAATATTCCGGTGGCATCTAAAATGAGACTATATAAAAATAACACAAATATTTCTATTGTCTTTATTTCATTGCTTTTTGTCTTCCAGGTATTCGGGCTCATACTTTGGTATTCAGTGTCAAAAGGTGGTTGGCACAAACCGAGCGAAGGCATTCATCCGGTATATATCACATTACTCAAATGACGAATTCTGAGAACTATTTTTTTCCGTAACAGGTGTGCCTCTACGGACGAAGCTCGTCAACATGCTCGTTTGCCACCGCGGTCGGCTTTTTCGCTGTGTGTGGAGCCGCAGGATTGATTGTGCTCGACGCGAAAATGGACCAAATTAGCTCAATTCCCACTAGGCGACGAGCGGTTCTAGCGGATTTAGTCGTATCAGGTACCGTATACCTTTGGGACACCACAGACCACGTTGCACATTTCAGCTATTTTCACTGGAATCTTTCTTATCGGTTTCTTCACTTTCTGGTCCAAATTATCTTCCTTCGAGACCGACGAAGACGACGAAAATCCAATAAAGACTAACAACGCGAAATTCGGAATTCTCAGTGCTCTTCTCTCCTTTTTGGCATGGGTGTGTGTATGGGGAAAGAACTCTGACAGGGGGTGAAGCGAAAAAGAAGAAAAAAAGAGTTATCTTTTGTCAAAATCTAGAATCGAAAGTCAGGACCTAGAAAAAATCTTAATAGTTCCGTATTGGGAGGTTTTCCTTTGAAATTTGATATAAATGAAATGAAAACAAGAAGAAACATTTGATATTTTGTGGATTTGGTAACAAGAATACTCTGAAAATAGTGAAATGTTTCAGGGAGGAGCCGCTTTCTTTGCGTGGCGCCGTTACGAAGAAGGAAACCAGGCTACCCATGAGCCAAACTACGACGAACAGTTCGGTCAAGTTTCTAGTGATGTTCAAGAAGGATATGGATACGGAGGAGACTCTTCAGGTTAAAATGAATCTTTTTCAGCATCCTAAAATTATTGATTTTTAGGAATTGGCCACGTCGGAGCTGCACCAGCACAACAGTCGTCCTACCAATCTGGAGCACCACCACAGACCATGCAACAGCCACCAGCCAACCCGTACACTCAATCCGAGGGATATGGTTATTAAATAGCTCGCCTTTTCTTTTCAAAGATTGTCATTTAATACCAAATTTGGACCTAAATACTTGTAGATTTTTTTCTCCCATTTTTTGCTTTAATTTAAGTTAGACAGGAAACAATGCAGTCGTCGACGCAATAATATTTATTTGGTTTAATTTTGACTTTTTCTTTTTTTGACTAATTTTCATGGAAAACTTGAGATTTCGCAACACTCGAGATTTCTCTTTAGATTCACCTTTTCAAGGAATAAATTTCTTCATCGTCGTTTTATTTCCGTTTTTGTTTTGTTTGTCAAATGAAAGTGACCAAGATATGATGATATCAAAGTATCATGAGGTTATTTGACACAATAGGTTGGAGAAAGAAGAAAAATGAAAGGGATACTGAATGATTGAATTAAGTTACGCCCCAAAGAAGACGAAGAGAGAAAGACAACATCAATGTTTACGATGCCAATTTCTGATTTAAATTGGACGAAAGTTCAATACTCTATCATCCTTCTCAATTCTCTTCACTAGTTCACAGAAACATGCAATCGTCCGCTTCGATTCTTCTGGTTCTTGCCACAATCTCTTGCTGCAATGCTCTGCTCTTTGGCCTCATCGGAACAGAGCAGGTAATCCTCTATTGTACTTCAGACATGTTTTATATCTTTTTATTCCAGTCTGTGGCAGTCACGGGAAAGCTGACATGCAATGGAGAGCCAGCGGCACATGTTCGTGTGAAATTGTATGAGAAAGAAGCCAGTGAGACAAATCCGAAATTTCAGATTATGAGAAACAAAACAAATTTTCAGCACTCGATGTGTTGTTGGGCGAGGGAACTACGGATGAGAATGGAGAATTCTCGTTGCAAGGACACAAGGTTGAAGTCAGCACTATCGATCCGAAATTGAACATCTATCACAAGTGCAACTACAAAGGAGTATGTTTCGGAGAGGAGAAGTTCCAATCATCCATGAAACATGTTTCAGATCTGCTACCAGAAATCTTCGCTCACTATCCCAGATAACTTTATTACCGAAGGAGAGGTTCCACAAAAAACATTCAACGTCGGAATCATCAATCTTGCCAACAAGTTCAGTGGTGACTCAACCGATTGTCTCAACTAATTTTCTTTGAACGACATTTTGTTTTTTTTAATCTGACATCACTTTTCCACTTTTCTCAAGTTATCCATATTGAAAAATGAATCATTCTTCTCTATTTCAAACAGTTTCATAAAAAATCACAAACAGATTTTATTTGGATAAGCGGAAGTGTTGAAATGTTTCAGAAAATCATCATAGTTCGCTGAATAAGATCATTTTTCAGTGATCGTCTCTTTTCGAAAGTTTTCTATAAAATCAACTTTCACTTTGTAAGTAGTCGTCGCTTTTTGTTCTTCTCAGGTGCTGTAAATCTTGGTGTCGTTGATTCGACAGTGTCAGGTGAAAATAGAAACAATGATGAAGACTTTTCTCTCTTTCGTCTTTCTTTGTTCTCCCTCTCGCGTTATCTATCTGACCATTGGATTCTTAGGTTGTACAGTGACACTATTCTCTGTGATTGATTCAGTATACAAAGTTTCTGGTTTCAATTCTTTGAATCTAAACTTAGCTTCCCGGTGCCTACTTGTTACCCCAACTTTTCTTCACCGTTCCATTTTTGTCATTTTCCAATTTTTAGATGCCTAGCTCTACTATATTGATCCTTTTCGTTTTGGTCTCCTCATGTCTTTCGATCTCCATCGAAATCGGAAATCTCCAATCGGTTGCCGTCAACGGAACACTATTGTGCAACGACAAACCAGCCAACAACATCAAAGTGAAGTTGTACGAAGAGGAAGCCAGTGAGTTGGGAGAGAAAGGGGATCCAGACGAAACCACAGAAAGATTTATGAGTGTTTTGTCATTTAGTTCTTGACGTTCTTCTTGACGAGAGATTCACCAGCGAAAGCGGCACCTTTGAGATGTCGGGATCCAAGTCTGAAGTGACGACGATCGATCCAAAGTTGAACATCTACCACAAATGCAACTATGACGGGGTGAATGTTGGGGAAATGTTGTGGAAAGTTGGAAAAGGGGCAGGGAAATTTTCGAAAACTAGTTTAAGTTTTTATTTGGAAAAGTTCTTACAAAATCTCGTTTTTTTGAAGTTCCAAAATGATGAGCTACGAATGAAATACCATATAACAATGTTTAATGTACTTTCAAAATTACTGATTTTCTTAAGTTTGGTTGTCAAAATAATAATTTTTACGGAAATTCTGGAAATTTTTCAGGGACCCTGAATCTTAAAAATTCGTGATTAAAAACTTTACAAGAGAACCTCAACACCTCACAAACCCAGATTTTGATGAAAATTTTCGGATAGGTAGAGGATAGCCTATCTAGACATCTATGAAAATTTTAAAATCCGCACGCCAGTTTCAGCCGAGTTATATCAGTTTCAGCACCAAAAATTGCCGTTTCCGTGCAAAAGCATCGTTTTCAAAGACGATTTTCTCAAATCCTGGGTTGTTTCAGAGCATGATACTTGTTGTGTTTTACTCTAATTTTGATGAAATTTGATATTCCAAACCTTTTCTCATAAAATTTTTTTTTTTCAATTTTGCCTATTGTTAATTTACCCTGAAATTGTCATCAAAATCTGGGTTTGTGAGGTGCTGAGGTTCCCTTTTTAAAAGAAAATCGTTGCAGTGATTCACGCTTTATTATCCTAGAATTAGTCCCAAATTACCGGGAAAAAATTACTCTAACATGAGGTATACTTGAACTTTATTATCTCGATTCCTGTGAAAATTATCAAAAAAACGATAAACTGACAAAATGCTTAGTGTTTACGGTGAATGAAACACTGCTGCTCAATTTAGCAATTTTTGCAGTTCTTGGTCCTTAGTTACGAACCTAATTCAAATAAGTTAAATTTTCAGCAAGTATTTTTGTGTTGGTATTGTTTTGAAATTTCAGACGTTAGGAATCACGAAATCGTGTATGTTCTGATAGAAGCCCACCATTTCTCTACATTATGAGCGCAATTATTTTGATACCCATGAGAAATGTTAAAAATTTGTCAACTGATGAATTATTCGCCATAATATGCTCAATATTTTATCAGTTGACAGGTTTTTGAAGTTATTATAGGAACCGAGATAATTGATCTTGAAGTGCACGAATAGGACCAGATTTTGTCAATAGCATTTACGGAAACACAATTTTCAAAGTTAAAAACTTCCATCCAAATATTAGCAACGGATTATTTTTGAGTTCTAACTTTCAAAACTACACTTCTTTTCACACCAAACTCAAACATTTTTTAGATCTGTGTTCGCAAAATCTCCATTATGATTCCACCTGAGTATGTGACCAACGGAGAGAAACCAGCTCGTGTCTATAACATTGGAGAAATCAATTTGGCTTCCAAATTCAGTGGTCAATCCACTGATTGCTTCAACTGATCAGCTCGATGAGATTTTTTGCCAGTTTATTCATGTTCATTGTGTATTCCCTTTCATCTCTGTCATATGTACAACAAAAGTAATAAATCTTTTAGTCTGACAGGCCTAGTCATTCTGATCGTTAAGTCCTAAAAAAGTACATTGTTTTCAGGGAGAGTTTTATGTACTTTTATTACACTTTAACATCAAAGCTGGGCAAAAAAAAAGAGTGAAGAAGAGGAAAAATATACTTAGTGTTCTCTCACATGTTAGGCGGTTTTTTCCTCGAGAAAATTGCGTGGTGTCCGTTTTTTTAATAGTTAGTGCAAAGTTTTTTTTTTTCTGTTACAGTAGCAATTTGAAAATAGTTCCGGGATTTTCAAAAACTGAGAATTGAAAAAGAGCAGCTTTCTTCCCAAAAAAGCATATGGAAAAATAAATTTCTAATTTCTTTGAAAAAATCCATTTGTACAGCTGTTGTTGCTCTTGATGAAAAATAACTCATACCGGAATTCAAAATAATCGTGATATTTCGTTCGTTCCTCTCCTAATACATCTTATCACCAATTACTATCATTACTCAACTCTACTCATTAGTCAACTCCAGAACACAATTACTTGTATTTCTGTCTCTCCCACCAATCTACTCATCTATCTATTGAACAGAAAAGCAAACATTGCGATGTAGAGAGAAAAAAAAAACAAAAATATTTACTGGATCGTCACATCGAGGTCAGATAAGATACTTGAAATGTTATTTTTCCCTGACGTTTTTTTTCAGTAATGTTTGTGTGTTTGTGGGAGTGTCTGCGTAAAAAAGGTCATGTTGAAAAAAATTATACAGTTTTTTTGGTTTTAAATTAGTTCCGTCTCTAATGCTCCAGTCCAATCCATGTTGGCATGTTATGACTGTTGTAAAAAGCCATCAATATTTGATAAAGGCACTTTCTGGCCAAACAAGGACAGGAGAAGAAACATGATTGAGTGAGGAATACATAAAAAGTCTGATCATAGCGTGGTTTTCAAAAAAAAGCAGGCAAACGCGAATCATGTGGTTTTTTAAATAAAAAGTAAACTGTTTTTGCTAATGTACTTGAGGTCTGAACCAGTGGTTGCTTGTCAGAACACCGCGATAGTTTGTTCGAGAAGTTCTATGATTACTGAAAACGCAGTTTTTTTTCGAAATGATCTAAATGATTACATAAAATCACAAGTTTCCGAATATATTTTTCGATTTATATATTTTCGGAACGATTTGTGAATTACATCATTCTTAGTGCATCGAGATTAATCTCCTACAGCTAACATCTGTCACACAGTCCATCATAGTTTTCCCAAGACAGTCCAGGTCAACCGTCTGCAAATACACGTTGTGTTATCGCGATGGTCCCTTCCAACCTTTGCCCTCCCATCTTCTTCACCCATTGTATTGCACATTCCTATTGATTAGTTCTGTGGGAGAATCCAAAAAAAAGTCTCTTGGGTTTTTTCTGAGACATCCTGATTTGTTTTCTTGTGACCCATTTTCAATATTCGACTGTTTTTTTTTCGAGTCTTCTATACTTTAAAAGATGTTCAATTGATCAGACTTTCGAACAAGTAAGAGAAAAAGTGAAATCAAAATCTCCCCCTAAAGCAGTGAAAATAATGAAAATGAAATTGAAGGCCATTTATGTACTTGCAACCAAAACTTGTAGAAATGATCGACTTCCTTTTTTCTCTGCACTAAAAAAGCACTTTTCTCCTGTCTACTGGTACTACCACTTCCCGATCATTTTGAAACCGGCTCCTTTAGGTTGATAACAATTATTTTCGAAAGATTTCACAAGACGACAGCAGAACACAACCTTCAGTTTTAAAATTATTTTCCCTCCCCTTCCGTGCTCTTGTCACAATATAAAGTCATCTCTCTGCGCTTCCTAATTTCTCTCGTTCGTTCTCAAATCTCTCAGCTATCCCGACTCACGGCAAGATGGATATAACCCGGTGTGTGTCCCGTACGTGAGGCCCTGTCTCTTCTCTATCGCTCTCTAAATTTTTTCGTGTGAGTGTGTCAGTCAATCCGACGCACCCTACGCGCGGTGAGCGTATTTGTGAGTTGTTTGAGGGAGGGAGAGAGAGAAAGAAACGCCAAATGAGCGGAGTCGGCCGTCTCTGCCGATTGCCTCGCGCGCTCATACGCGACCAAACGAAGAATCCAGCCCTCGTTCTCCGTCACTGCCGCTACCCGTCACGTGTTGTGCAGTCGCGACATCACATTTGACGCCACATCGCACAACCGCTTGCCAGACACGCTCTCTTCAACATGCACACTATCTCGTCCGCATTTCTCGTTCCAGATTATTTTCCAAAGCCCGCTTGTTGTTTTTACTCGTTTCGCTACAGATTCTTTTTTGGAAGTCGATTTTTAACATTGATAATTTTTTTCAGGTCAAAAATGATCATGTATCACATATTCTACATGGATAGGGGGCAGACAATGTTGTTTAAATTAAATGTAAGTATTTGAAAAATTGTCATCAAGTGAAAAAACGACTAGAATAATCAGAAAAATATTGGCTATTGTTTTTGAAGATTTTCAAACTGCACAGGAGTCAAGAAAACTTTTCAAAGACTAAGGAAGACATTAGAAAAAAAGAAGCCAGAAACAAAAAAAAATCTAAAAATATACTTTACAGGCAGAAACGACAACATTCCATGAGCTGTTAGACATGGTCGCAAAAGAAGTATCTCATAGGATAACAGATTTGGTGAGGTGTGCTGAAAATGCGCTCTAATCAAACTTTCATATTTTTAATACAATTCAATTTAAATAGAAATCTTTTCAGATTATCCTGGATGAGAATGGAGTGGCACCTGACGGTGCAAAGAACCTGGCCTCCTACAGTACCATCGGCTGCTCTACAAACCCGGTCTACCTGTTTTTGAAGAGCGGAACAGACCGAGAGAACCATAACTGCAGCGATGTGACGTACATCTTTCAGATGATTGACGATGCTGTTGAGCAGGTAACCAATAAAAATCCCTGCAGTTCGTTTATTGATAATTTTTTGCAGTCTCA